ACTCACACCAGAATAAGCCTAGACCCTTCCCATGCAACAATTGAATCTTGTGACACATGCAAGTATGCCAAGGCAACCCAAAAACCCATAGGAAAAATCCAAGACCCCCCACATCAAGACAAGGTTGGTGACAAAATCCATACAGACTTGTGGGGACCATCTCCTGTCCAAACAAATGCAAGGAGTCAGTATTTCATGTCATACACTGATGACCATACTCACTTTACAAGCCTGTACCTCCTGAAGTCAAAGGACAAAACCTTCAAGTCCTACCAGAAGTACAAAGCCTGGCTGCTGACACAGTTCAACATGAAGGTTAAAATGCTTCACTCAGACCAGGGTGGGGGAGAAGCCATAATGCATGTGAACTGGTTAAAGAACTGAACCTCCACCCATGCACTTGACAAAATGACACCCTATGAAATGCTGTTCAAAAAGAAACCAGATCTATCTAATCTACCAATCTGGGGCTGCCATGTCAAAGTCCACACAGCAGATGGTTCAAAACTAGACATGCATGCAAAAGATGGTTGCTGGGTGGGCTTCAATAAGTACACAAATGCACACAGAATTTATTTCAAGGACTCATGACATGTGGGTGTCAAATGAAATGTCCAATTCAGCTCACAGGAGGTCACCATTCCTATCAGCATGCAGCTTGAGGGGGAGAAATACATCACAGATGACAAGGGAGCATCATCCACCTCACACATAGCTGGTAAAAGCAATCAGCATGCCATACAAACCACAGAAAGTGCACCTACAACACCAAGTACTCCCATTGACCACCTTGGACCAAGGTTCAAACCTGCAGCACCCACCTGTTGCTCTGGTTGCACACATGTTGAGTCAGCATATGTACAGTGCCTGCATGAGGGCAAGGGTACATACAACAGACAAATCCCACTACCTACACTACCACTACCTCAAGGAATACAACCAGCCTTGCAACAAGAGGAGAATAGAGAGACAGAAAACCTGGGCATGATGGGGGTGATGGATGAAGATGAAGAAGTTTTTTCCCTGGTTGCTGGAACTGCAGAGCTAGAAGGGACAGATCCCATCATGATCAAAGACACTCATGTGAGACCTGATTGGTCAAAGTGGGAGGAAGCAATTAATAAAGAACTTACCTCATTGGATGAAGCACAAATGTGGAGCATCATCAAGAGACTGACGTGTCAACATGGTCAGCTGTAAATGGGTATTTCAAATCAAACAAAACACAGAGGGAGAAATTGAAAAATACAAAGTGTGACTTGTAGCAAAAGGCTACTTGCAGGTCCACAGCATTGACTACTATGATACCTATGCACCCATCACATACATGGCATCCATCTGCACTATCCTTGCTATCACAGCACAGAATGACTAGGATGTTGATGTTTTCGACTTCCAGAGTGCTTTCCTAAATGGGAAGTTGGATGACAATGAAGTAATCTACATGCAACTGCCACCTGGGACCCCATGTAGTCCATTTAGTCACAACATATAGGTAGCCTGTGTGCCAAAATGCCAACACTTATATAGACCCCACAATGGGCCCATCTAAATAGATTAGCCATGACACATGGACAGGCCTGAGGGCCTATAGTGAGAGCAACATATGTACAGGCCTGTAAGTGCAATTCCACAACATATGGGGGGGCCCGGGGAGGGTAAGGATGCTGCAACACATAGATGGGCCTGTGACCAAGTAAGTATGCTGAGCTACTGTAAGACATAGATGGGCCCATCCATGCACCCCAGTCACAATATCAGGACAGGCCCACCTATTGTATCATGAAGGTTGCAACATATGGACAGGCCCATCCATCATATGCTTTATAGGGTCACAACATATAGATGGGCCTCTCCATAGCAAGATGCACACCTGTCACAACATAAGGATGGGCCCATCAGTAATATCATTGACAGCATCACAACACATAGATGGGCCCATCTAGTAAGATGCATCCCTGCCACAACATAAAGACAGGCCCATCAGTAATGTCATTTATAGCATCACAACATATGGACAGGCCCTTCCATAATACCATTTATACCATCACAACACATGGGCAGGCCTGTCCATAGTAAGATGTACCTGTTGCAACATAAATACAGGCCCTTCAATATATATCATTTACAGGGTCACAACACATGGACAGGCCCATCTAGTAAGATGCACCCATGTCACAACATAAAGATGGGCCTTTCAGCAATATCAATTACATGGTCACAACACATGGACAGGCCCATCTAGTAAGATGCACCCATGTCACAACATAAAGATGGGCCTTTCAGCAATATCATTTACAGTGTCACAACACATAGACAGGCCCATCTAGTAAGATACACCCCTGTCCCAACATAAGGATGGGCCTGTCAGTAATATCGATTACATGGTCACAACACATGGATGGGCCCATCAATAGCAACATGTATGCCTGTCACAACATAAAGATGGGCCTGTCAGTAATATCATTTACAGTGTCACAACTCATAGACAGGCCCATCCAGTAAGATGCACCCCTGTCACAACATAAAGACAGGCCTGTCAGTAATATCATTTACAGTGTCACAACACATAGATGATGGGCCCATCCAGTAAGATGCATCCCTGTCACAACATAAAGATGGGCCCATCAGTAATATCATTTACAGTGTCACAACACATAGACAGGCCCATCCAGTAAGATGCACCCCTGTTACACAGACTCCCTGGAGTGTGCAACCTGCCATAAATGTTCAAGGTACACCTGTACCACAGGGTACTTCACAGGCCCTGTCTGGTGTGCCACCTGTGTCCCCACCTGGCCCAATGGTTTCCCCTTCATCCATTCCTACATCACCACCATCCTCCACAATGACATCAGTAAGCACTTCCATCAATCCATCATCTAGTTTGTTGTCTTGTGGCAAGAGGCACAAAAGCAATGCCACTGCCAGGCTCAACACCACATCCACAGCAGCTTCCCTGGGAAGTTCCAGCAGTTCTTGGAAGTGGTGCTCGCAGACAGCTGGCCTTGAAGATGCAGTGCAGGATCTAATGTCCAGTGTGCAGGACAGTACCTCCAAGATGCTTGCCACCCTCAACAATCCCAAGGGCCAAAGTCTCAATGAAGCATGCATGTTGATGTTTGAGCTTGAGAAGAACCTTTTGGAGCAGAACCTAGTCCACTTGCAAATGTTGTTTGAAGAGAAATCCTCCTATGTTGCAGGTTACAAGAATGCTGCCACTCAGTTGGCAACATACTGAATGTTGTGGGTTAAGATGAGGCTTGAGGCCACTGGCTACAACGTTCCAGAATATGCAAACTTGGGGGGGAAATAAGTAGTTCATCTGTACTTGTGCATCTATACAGCAATCACCACTGTTTTAAAATTGCCATGCAAGTGTAAAAATTGAGGGCAACATAGTGGATACATGGATATTATGCAAAACTAGCTACTGAACTACTGAATCAACCCCTTCTTGTGAGCTCAGTGTGATAATCTTCCCACATTTGTGCTGCAATCATGTCATGCATGTCATTCATCTGACTACACAACCCAGCATTCAACAGAGTATCTTGCAAGCTTCCAACATCCATTTCTTCAGATGTTAAAAGTGGCCCATCATCTTCATCGAATTCATTGGGATCTGGCATGTCAACATCATCAGGATCATGGAGGTGGATGATATTGTGAACACAGCACACTGCTGCAAGCAAGCAGGACTGGATTGCCATGTCATATTCAGGTGGGAGAACAAGGGTTCAAAAACATTGCTTTATAACTCTGAAGTTATGCTCGATGTCATTTTGGAGCATGGCATGGTGAAGGTTGAAAAGCTCTTTGCCATCCCTCAGCCTGTAGGGAATGAATGAGAATCAAACACACATAAAATTGTAGTGGTACTTACCATAGATTGGCTTGCCCCCACTCAGCCAAATGATAGCATTGGCTACAGTATGGTACAAGTAGCTGTGGAGTTGACAGATACCCCACATCAGCAAGGTAATACTGCCCATCAGGAATAGCAAAGTCCCACAAGCAGGCGTTGTGGTAGACCATGGCATCAGCAGCTGACCCTTCCCAGCCTCTGAGAACATATGTGATGATACCATCAAATGAACATGTGATGAGACAGTTTTGAGATAAGAAACCCTTGTGGTTGTGCATAAGGTCTCATTCACTTGCAGATGGCACACATGCAATGTGTGTACTATCAAGGGCACCTATGGCATCTTTGAAGTATGGATAAAATTTGGGATTGGTGGTGATATGACTGGGGACTGGTGAATTGGCTCTGGGAAGGTGAACATATGTGGTATAAATGCAACCCTCAGAGAATGCATGGAGCATTCATTTAAAATACCCGGGTAAAGTTTAGCAGAATTTCAATCCAAACAACAGTGCACTCACCATAATATTGTATCCATTGAGCACTGGAATTGCTCACTGATGTGCCAAGCCAATAAACCTGTCACCATTGTGTACAGGAAAATCACCAGCTGCTCCTCTAATGTGACATTCTTCAAATCTTGGAGATCCCCTTCACAAAGGATGGATACCAGCCTGAGGAAGATATGTTTGTGGATGCCAAGCTCAGTTCTGATCTGCTTGGGGTGCCCATTAAGCAACTCATTTAGCTATCCCTGTCCTGAAAGAGCAGACATATGGAAAGGTTCTGGGGTAGTGCTTCAAAGTGTTGAGACTGCAGCCTGGTATAGACCAAGTGTAGCAGCAACCACTGCATAGTTCCGAATCTGCTGCAAGACTAGCACCCCCCAAGTGATATCAGACAAGGTATCAGAATCTTCATCCTCCTCCAAATCATTCTTGTCCCTCACAGCAATAAGGCAATTCTCGACCATAGCAATGGTCTCAATGGTGTAGTGGCATATGAGGTCGATTGCTGTGTGACCACAGCCAAGTATCAACTTAGAAGTCTGCTGAACTCCGCACAGAGTTGGTTTGTATATGTTTTGCATAAGGAAAGCAGAAATTCCACTACCATTCGGGCCCTAATACACCTTAGAGTTCGCATTGCATATCATCGTACTTACCCGAGACCTTGCCGATCACGTGATTTCGGATACGAAGTCGTTACGGTCGCTGAGTCATCTGAGGTAACCTCAACAGACTCGACACATAAAATGTCAGGTAGGTCTATCCAACGTCGCAGACGAGACACTACCAGACAAGAATCCTTTCAAAAGACCAGACAGAGATCTCATCTCCACCTTTTGACAGCGTCTCACAAGTGCGCTTCTCCCCAACCAACCCAGACCATCTCCTCGTCTCGGCTTGGGATACAGTACGTATCACATGCCAAGTTGTGCCTCTGTGGCTACTTCAACTCTCACTCTTTCTGCAGACTGTTAGATTCTACGATGTCGCTACCAACGAACAAAAAGCAAAGATTGACCATCGTGCAGCCGTCCTTGCATGTTGTTTTGGCGACGCTACTCACACATACAGCGGAGGACTTGACAATGGAATACGGGAGTACGTCACTTCGATTGCTTTTCTTTACCTATCCCCTGATGGATGCTTTCTTCAATTAGACTTGATCTTTCTACAGAGAAAGTTACTTATCTCGGACAGCACGGGAACGCAGTATCTGCTGTGAACTATGCTCGTGACCAAAGTACATTCTTATTTTGAGTTGCTTTGTAACTCGTGTCTAACGTTTCACTTTATTACTTCAGATGCGTTGATCTCCGGCTCATGGGACCTCTCACTCAAACTTTGGGATCCCCGCGCATCTACCGCAGACGTCTCGACGCACGTTCTTCCCGAACGAGTCTACCACATGGATCTTGTTAATAATACACTTGTTGTTGCCATGGCCAGTCGCTTGTTCCATATCTATGACATTAGGAAGATGTCAGAGCCTGCCCAGACCAGAGAGAGCAGCTTGAAGTTCATGACACGAAGCCTTGCCTGCATGACTGATGGGAAAGGCGAGTTTCAGCGCATATTCTGCCTCGCCTGCTACTAAGACGATCACATATGTTTATATGACTAGGCTATGCAATTGGCTCGGTAGAGGGCCGAATTGGAGTGGAGTACTTTGATCCCAGTCCTGAAGTTCAGGATCAAAAATACGCATTCAAGTGCCATCGACAAACAATCGAAGATGTTGATCATGTATGGCCAGTTAACTCGCTCGCTTTCCATCCTGTGTACGGTTTTCTGGTTTTCCTCTGCTCCGTACTTCTTACAGTAGCTTTCGATAGCCATAACACGTTCGCTTCTGCAGGATCTGATGGCACGGTCTCAATCTGGGACCACAAGCTCAAAAAGCGCCTTCGTCAGTATCCTAAGTATTCCGGGTCTATTGCTTCTGTTGCATTCAGCTGTGACGGCTCTCGTCTGGCGGTTGGGGTAAGTTACACGTGGGATGATGGGGAAGAAGGCGCCAAGGCTGCCGAGAGACCTGCGATCTGGATAAGGAAGCCCGGCGATGAAGTCAAGGTGCGTCTATAATTACCTACTCACCGCGCAATGTTTGACACTTCTCTCCATCTAGCCCCGACAATTGTAGAACCACACTGTATGTATACACCATCTCTGCGCCCTCGTACGTACTCTAATTGAGCATTACTTTTGTTGCGTGCCAGAGCAAGTGCTTGTCAGATAATTACTACCCAAACTTTCAACATTACGGGTTGGAGAAAATACAGTACAGTTGCACAATTTTGGACGATTAGGCTGCAGTTCACAGTACTTCCCTCTGTGGAACCCAGGTTGGACTTGTGAGTCTGATATTGATGTATGTTGCATGAAATCTATTTCATTGATTTGAAATTTTTGGTGTATATTCGTTGCAATGGACAGTTAAGGAAGTGTGTTCCTATAGGTATCTCCGCCTGCGGTCACCTTTGCTGATGTCGAGTAGGGTTTGTCTTTATATATACCCACAATTCCGACAGACACGATAGGAAAGCCGTTTAACAGTGTTTCGTTGCGGAAGTCATGACCTGCTTATTCACAACATGGATCAAATCACACAGCAATATCAATCCATAGAAGCTCGGGCCACGTACCCTAAGTGTGGTAGCATTTCTGGTCGTCAGTTGCACTCACCTCTTCTTGTGCAGACTTAGCTACAAACACGAGCCTACGGCCGATGTTTCTCATACATTCTGTTTTGTCTTTAGCCTACCTCGTCACTCCCACCTTGTCAATGTCAAGCGTAGCGGAATGCTGCCACGCGTCGGGAAGCCCAACGGCTTTGAATTGAAAGTCCTCCCGTCAATCCTCGTATGAGTCGGATGTCTCCGAGATTTTGAACGGCTCAGCACGTATCCAGAGGCTCTGCAACTTCATAATTTTTGACGGTGAGTCCCTACCCCCGTGGCCTAGCACTGACAGGTGCATGATCCCCACATATGCCAAAAGGACTCATCAAAGAAAGCCTTGGCTGAAGTGACGAGTAAATACGACACTATTTGTGGGGTTGTTCCATGTCACCTCACGGCGTCCTAGTGTGAATGAGCTCCAAAGCAAAGGTTCAAACGTGAGCAAGATGCATGGATCGGACAAAGGTTGAACGGAACTTGCCGTTGCCTCGAGCTCGCACATTGAGGCCGAAGGCACGCAGTATTTCGGCCACTTGGATACTAGGGCCTTCCGCGTAGAACATCCAATCACATTGTCATCTATAAACCGCAGTTCATGCTTCGACCTTCAAATTATCCACCACAACAAAAACTATCGTACAACGCACACAAAGCTATCGAGGACATAGCACAGGATATCTTTACAGCAAATCATAACCAATGGAATGCATACAAGACGATCGTTACAGATTCAGAACACATGGTGAGAGGAACACGGATATAAGCGGCAAAGCATAGGGGGGAAATGTCTGACGTCAAAAACGAGAGGAACAGAAACCGGTATTGCACACTGAAGAAACGGTCATAACTAAGAGAGCAGATGAGCATGTCAACACATCCAAAACTGGTGAATCAGATTGAATCCACTGATCTCATTCTAGGGATGTTTGGATATCTCAGTACTTGACTGCTGCAGAATAGCCACCATGCAAGCGTACAAGTTCAACCCCACCTAATTCGCTAGCGGCATACTCCATGGGCGTTGCCATGGTTACAAACATCGCCTCGCCATCCCCACCTGAACACCAATCATACACAGTGTGGCTACCCTCGAATTGATTGAAGATCGGCGATTGGGTATACGGGGATATGCATGGGTCCGACCAGTCTTTCATGAGGATGTTATACGATCGTGAGCATTGCATCCCGTCCGGTGAAGCAGCGCTGACATTGGTCTCGTCCAGATCCCCCAGTCCATAGAATGCGGAAGGTTGCTCGAGAGGGCTACGTAAGGTACACACGGGTGGCGGTAGATGAGCGCTCGTCGATGTCTTCAGGAGATTATACGGCTATAGATAATATATATTTATACGCAGGTTAGATATTGAAGTCACAAAAAGGGAGGACACGAGGTAAAAGAACTCACGTCATTCCATCGTGCTGGGGCACCTTCTCCGAGAGTAGAGGGAAGTACAAGCAGAGAGAGGTCGCCGATGGGTTCACCGAACATAGCATGTGTAGTGTCATACTGTTGGTGTCCTTGTCCATTGGTAACATTGTATGGGGATGAATTGCAGCTGCTACTGAACTGAGGTTCGAATGTTTCGTACGAGATGCTGACGAAAGCACTGCCCAGTAAGCCATGGCACGCGTTTGTAGGCGGGGGTGATTGTGATTCTATAGGAGCGTGTGATGCTGGAGCAGAGAGAGAGCGCCTAAACATGGCTGTGAGGGGGATTTTGAAGCGGTTGTCGACAGCATCAGGCGTTTGCGAGCGGGGATGCGGACTGTTGCTATGCTGATCCCCGTTGTTTCGACTCGTGAATTCTTCGCAGATAACGCCTTCCTTCCTGGGCACTGCCAACGCTTCATCTCCGTCCCCCTTCCTTTCCTCCACGACTTGTGCCTTGTTCAAGTCCGTTATGGTATCCCCCTTGCTGTCCTCCCATTTCCTGACAGCGTCTTCCAAGTCCACACCAGTCTTTCCTTCAGTGAGTAAGTCTACAATGATGGTGCACCGTGCGTCCTCATTTTTCTTGTTCACCCCCGCCTCGGCTCGGCCTTTTCGCCCAGCATGGGAAGTTCGTTTTCGGGTGTTCGCAGGTCCGTCTTTGACTTTGAGCTTGGCATGCGCATTAGCTCCGGGTCGGAATCGCCAATCAGGATAACGTCTCCTATGTTCCGCTTGTGCAACCACCGCTTTTGCTTCCCATACCTCCCTCTCTTCGCGAGGGAGGGTCTTCCAGTATTTGCCTGTAGACAGGAAGTACCGAGAGTCATTATCTATTATTTACCGACAAGTAGTAGGAACACACCAATGATCTTTGAGAGGGTGCTGTGATTCCCTTCCACTTTCTCTGGAACTTGTTGACTCTTGATGAACGAGGATCTGAAAAGGATAAAGGCGTTCGGAGGGCGTGGAATGTATGAAGCGTCGCGTTTTTTGTTGTGGCTCGTTCGTTCGGGTCCACCGTTGTACGCTGGCTGAAGTTCCAAAGGTTCTGCTGTTTCTACGGGAGGTTCGGGAGGGATGGGACTGTCCCACACAGTCTCGAACGGAATGGTCGGATCAGAACTGAATGCTGTGATCGGCGTCATATCTGTGAAGAAGGTAAACGTCATCGATGGGTTTGGATTGTCGACGAGCGGTGGCATTCCGTCTACCGAGTTGAAAGATTAGACAAGGAGGAGTAGTCAATACGATGGTATTCGCACCGTCGTCATCCACGTCGTTGAGGATGGGATCGTGTTCTTGGAAGGTTAGCATTATCGTTGGGAGAAAACGTGCAGAGGAGAGGGAAGGGCAGGGGGAGGGGAAGGGGGCAAGAAGAAATCCCAGCTGTGCTTTATGCTCGCTTTGGCAACGGAAGGAATCGAAGCTGGTTCGACTTGTTCCCACCCGCGTTCTCTACTTTAGCGCCTACTCGATAGCGATACGCACGGCGTTAAGATGCAAGTCTTTCTCTACCACTACCCCAGGGTGGGGTCCTCACGGGATTAAAAGGAGCAAGGCAGAAAAAAAAAGTTTCGAGCCATCATCAGCATTGCCCGGCCTCCCTTCATCATGGCTGTATCGGACATGCATGTTGGCTGGGGACGCAGGCTGAGACAATCCTGTGTAATATACGCGGGGTTAAAGGGAAAGCGAGAGGCTCTCAAGCATGTCATGGCCTGCAACGTCGTCGCCCTCGAGGCCGCCTCGTGGTGTCCGCCCTCTCACTGGGCAACCGCTTGCTACTTTCCGCCCGAACTAAAAACATTTTGCCTTTCCCATTGCTGTGCGTCCACACCATCGCTTACCACCCGGTATTCGGCGATTTGACGTGCATGGAGGAAAGGTTGCCATCGGTAAGCTGACGTGGCGGTGTAGTCGCATACTATGTTGCTTGATTAACTGGTAAGTCATGTCGGAATATGTGACGGGCTGGCATTTCGTGTCGATCCTTTCATCCGTACGGTGTTCTGCAGTGCTTCACAGCAAGTGGAACCAGTGTATCAGAACACCAGGTCATATGTTCCCTGACGTCATGCTCCACATGCAGTTCTGCCCAATCCCTACTTCTGAGCCTTGTTCCGCTGGACACCGCACGGAAATGACCCCGGATCAAGTGTTCGCACTGCTTCGTTCCACATGTATCCGTCGTAATGACGATTTTCGACAATTCGCTGCCAAGGGCCCACCAGTGGCAACAACAAAGGTACCGCAATCATTCCATTCTACCACCAGAATTCCACCAATGGCCGGACCGGAGCCCATGACGGGCGTCCGCTGATAAGCGTAGCGAGTAAGTATCTCGTACATGTTATCCCCTCTGTTGGAAGTGCTTGTCCGGCGCTCGACAGATCAATACTGTATATCCACCGATTGCGCTCATAAGCATCATCCGGATCGTTTCACCCATATTCGCTAGTCCCATTTTGTACTGGGCACGGGATGTTCTATGTTCGTTAACTCTTCAGTCAGTTGAGGCGGGAAAGGCACTGGCACAGCCGTTCCAACCCTCGGTGTTCCCTCCGGTTCTCGTCTGCGTGCCTTCTAAAAGTGATATCTTCCTCCATTCCTGGAAATGCGTCACTATACGTGGGACATACCCCCCTCCCAGGGCACTATGTGCCCCACTAATCAGGTGAGTGTACTGTGAGAAACACAGAACCGGGTTCGGTATCCTCGGGCACCCCTCTGCGTTCCTTTTACTCGCAAGCCACTCGTTTATGCCGACATCAGTCCTCGTACTCCGATGGGAGTCCGATGTGCAAAAAGCACACTGGCGGTGATACAGATACATCTGTCATTCGGACTTCTTAACGTCACGCGGAAGTGCGCATCTTATTAACCTGACCAGATGACCGAGTGTGGGACAACCAAATGTACGTGGCGTTCCACACAGAATGCCCCTATCTCTCTTCGAACACCCTCACCACGCAAAAGACGCATTTTTCATCGCGAAATTGCAAGTTATCTCCTATTTAGCGATTCCCCCTTTCCCAGGCACAGAAGATACAGTCTAGGTTATCGTCAACCTCATGTGACATACAACTACCCTATTATTTTAAATTGCACATTCCCAGAGTTGTCAGCGCTTTCCTGACAAACGACGAACATTTATCGTGATACTGGGCCTGTTCTGCGTGTTTGTTCCCTTGAAGCTCGTGGACTCGTATGAATTGGAGCCAGAGTGGCAGATGGGAGGACAATAGCCGTCTGGCCGGTCTGTGCGGATGTAATGAACGCTTCACGCGCTGCGATGAGTTGGAGTTGGGTAGATGCAGGATTTTGAACTTGGTGAATCTGAATTGCTTGTACCTAGCACGGGTATTCGATGACATAATCCGAGAGAGGGTGTGCCCTGGACCACCACCACACCGGTTGCTCTCCTACATACAATGACTCGTACTTTGAAGCGTCTTCGTTCGTCCCCGTTATTATTATTTGGCCCACGGCAGGCTGCTAACGCCACCGAGCCAGGGCAACCAGAAGAAGCAGCAGTGGTTCTTTCAGAGTTCACACAAGATGCCCACGCTGCCAAAAAGCTCAAGCTTTTAGAAGAACACAGGATAGAATCTCCCTATCCCTTATTTACCCGTCCAACGATCGAAGAAGCGCGTGCAGTGCACGCCCTTCTCGCGGCGAACACCCCAGGGGGTGCGCCTACTGTTCACTCAGAGCCAAATGACACCACGACTAACTCTGGCAGCGCAACATCCAAGTCTGTGTCGTGTACCGGCAGTAGCGCCCTTCCGAATGTCCTCGACTCTGTCATCGGAACGATCCTTTCCCAAAGTACCTCCTCCCAGAACTATACACGAGCGAAATGCTCTCTTGATGCAGAGTTTGGAACTGGCGAACCAGCATTCGAACGGATGGTCAACGCCGACGTAGGACAGATCACACAGGCCATCAAGTGCGGCGGACTAGCCAATAAGAAAGCGAGCACGATTCAAACACTATTGCGAAGTGTCAAAGCGAAACACGGCAAATGCGACCTGCAGCACTTACACAACAACGAGATACCAAACGACGATGCTATGCACGAGCTCATATCCTACAAGGGTGTGGGTCCCAAAACGGCCGCGTGTGTCCTGTCATTTTGTTTAGGCAGACAAGCATTCGCGGTGGATACGCACGTGTTTAGGTTGACGAGAATGCTCGGGTGGGTGCCGGAAAGCTCCAATCCGGTTGATGCACAGTCCCATCTGGAGTTGAGGATTCCATCGGAGCTCAAGTATGGGTTACATGTGATGATGGTGAGGCATGGAAGGACGTGTCGTGGATGTAGGAATGGAGGGAGGGGTCCTTGTCCCTTAAAAGCTTGGCTTCGGAAGAGGAACTCGTAATGAGGAGAAGGGGGCGGCCCAGCCAAAGTGGAGGTTGTGATGGAATCCGCAGTTGCGGCACTAGAGGAGTCACATGCTGGGGAAGCCATTGGCCGTGATCTGGTTGGCTCTGCACGTACATCATTTCATGTCAGTCATTGAACTGTCGTTCCTTGCTCCAGGTTTTAATGCTTTTACCGTCGGCGCGCACTATGAACATTGACTCCAGGTTTGCGTCGCACCAGCACTTTAAGCGGTGGAACTTGCTTCCATCGCCTCCAGCATGAATTGCCGTCAAGCACTTTCCGAACATCTCCTTACTACTCATTCCATCACTCTCCGAAAATCCGCAATGATCTGCTCCAAAAAGGACCCCCAATCACGATGCGGTTGAACACTTTCTTACCTCGGCTCTGCGAGGAGTTATCGTCGCCGCCACGTCACAATCTGGGTAATCCATCGCTCCGACCTGGTATGCATTCCTCAGCAGCCAATGAACACAACTTTCGCTCCAGCCGCTCAACCGCATGCTATCTCACCGCGGCGCATTCGGACTGATCACCTTATCTCCCGTGTGAACCATCAAATCACCATCGGGCGACGTCTGGTAGGAGCTGGACTGCGACGAATCACGCCTCCTGTACATATAACAAAGGCACCAGCATTGATGTCGACTAGTCGACCAAATTTTATACCTTTCTACGAAGGAATACTGTAGTAATGCTCACACCGCTCTACGGAGCGCCGAGCTAGTACCCATTTAAAAGTGTTCACTTTCTGGGAAGGCTCTTAAGCCCCGCCGGGCCGCCATCCATATATATATGTACAGTTTCTCGCGTTCTTAACTAAGCTTCATTTTGGGCTAGTCGATGTCGAGGTCTAGTACAAGGGGATGTCCAAATCTGTGAAATGGTGGGGAGTTCTTGCTCCGTGTCCGTTAGCCAGAATATTATTATTATTATTATTGCAGCATCTCTCAAACCTCGGAACCAAGCCAAACCCAGACTCCTCCAAAGACGTGGGCGAGGTAGACCTTTACCTTCTCACACACATTTGACCATTGATCATTTGCCAGTCTGGATGGACTCCGACTCATGATTGGCCAGTCTCGTCAGCCACTGTGTATAGGAAGTATTTTTGATACGCCCCTTGTTCCAAATATGGACTGTGTTGGAATGGTTACAATGACCCGAAGGAATGGATCCGTCTGCACAATGCAAGGTTTTGAGCCATACTGTATGGGTTTACCGTATTGTCGCGACCACATGCATTCATTTTCATGTGGGGTGCATGTATTTTCTCCCTGATATGAGAATCTGAGATATCAAGATGAGTACATGTGTCCATCCTGTACGCACGGAACCAGAGGCCAAACTCTTGCCAATGTGCAAAGTTGCGCGATTCGAGTTTAGTTCGTAGTGCGATAGGATCTCAGACGGTACGTGCTCATCACGGGAGGAGTCAAAACCAACTGTCAAGAAGCATGAGCCATGTGATACAGCAGTTGATAATGCGGCAGTAGATTACAGTGCTGACGCGGAACCTGTTCATCGGCGTGGGTACATCATAGACATAGTGGCCTGTTAGTGCAGCTCAACGTTGAGGACTTCTCAGCAACAGGTACAGAGTCTAGGAAGCAACATAGGGGTTATCGATAGCATTGAACGTACCAGGACTATGACGACAGCGACCGCATCCCATATGTCGGAGATAGATTACAGTGACTGATAAGTATTTCTGCAATGGTTTGGACAATATGTGATGAGATGCAACCTCACCCCCTGCTTTGAGAATCGCTCTTCACAACGTCACTTATCGAACTTTCCCGTGTTAACAAAAGCAGGGTACTAATCGGAAGAGCGTCACTGACCGCTCATTTCTGATAGCGCGGTACTTTTAGTTTAGCACCGATATATACACCTGAATTTTTGCCTAATCTTGCCTGAATCTGCTAGAATGTGAATGGAGGGAGGGGGAGAGCACATTAGCAACGGAGACCGTTTCAATCTATCACATTCGTCAAGAAAGGCCTAGGCTTGCGCCGGTACACCTTGTATGTATAGTAGACTTTCGTGTCTACTGACCCAGGCTCCCTTTGCTTTGTCCCTGGAACTCATCAAAATCCACAACCACTGCTGTGTCGGAGTCTGCATTAGGACGCTACATGTAAAAACATGTAAAATATTTAATGGCATGTACAGCTTCTCATTGTTTGAGTCACGTACCTACGTGTCGCCATTTAAGTATGAGACAGAGCTGTCTAGAACTGTATTTGGCATGATGAAGGGATTCGGTTCCCGCGATCGTTGATACTCACTATGGCTTCATAGAAACAATGGAAGCGCTCGGGGTTCGTAGCTAGGATTGTCCACTAATAAAGAACATTACAAACACGACAGTCCGGTACGGAAAGGGTCTTCCAAATCATGACTTCTTTGATGCGCCTTGTCTAGAATATCCCTCACGAGCCACGTCGCATTACACATGCCAGAAGCAGCATTATAACACCACGCATCGAACGCCGATGACGTGCGGAACATGTTCAGTTTGACACGAAACCGAGGTTCCAAAATCAAATACCGTTCACATGTGAGGTGCCTTTTCGTGCCTTTCATATTAGGATCTGAGGCCTTCCTAATATGACAGGACTTGTGTCAGCATCTGACGTGAGGTTGACGGAGGCTGGCATGGACCGAACCGATTGGAACGAAGGCCTTTGGAGACACTCCATTACCTGACAAAATTTTCTGAAGACACCGTGACCGCTATCGTGAAGGGTACCATAGACGATGCCACAGGTGGCCCTGGCTGGTCTGCTGAAGGGGAGGCAGCAATAATTCACACGCTCATCCACCGAAATAGGCGGTGCGCAAATGATTCAGAAAGTTGGAAAATTGGAAGCTATCGACAGGTCGAACAACATCCATTTCCAGGAATTTCTCACCCTGAGCATGTAGCGAATGTTCATACCACCGTATTAATCGGTTCGTCAGACCTCTTCTGTGCTTCTTCCAACGTATCATCGCGGGCCTAACAGGATAACATAAGTGTTAAGCTTCTAGCTGCAAGAGTGCCAACAATGTACTCACGCACCAGTCGACATATCAAATAAAGAAGAAAGTGTTCCATCTGTCAAGTAATATCGTAAACGCTGAGCAATGCAATGTATTCGGCATCACAGTTCCTGAATCGTTCTTGCTAGTGTATATGTTTCGACCTTTGCCATCCCAAGTCGCAACGAGGTAGAGAAGCAACACGATTTGAGGACCATGGATACAAACCGTTTCTGTGCCCATTGCTCTATGGATCGACCTAGCTAGGTCCTGCTAGGACCGCAGCTCGTCCTACCATATACTTAGCGCCGCTTCCCGGGTGACGCGCTAACCTGCCATACGATTCCTGCATGATGCTTCAAACGAGAATAATGTCAGAATTAGGCAATGCCGCCCATTACCCATGTTTGCGGAAAGTTGAAAGAAAAATGGGCGTACGTGATAGTACCGCTTGGGGGTCCACTCCAGAGGTTCGCTCACTTCTATCCAGCACTGTCAGCTGTCCATGACTTGTCGAATGTAGCCTGGTAAGGTGGGATGGCATTTCCCGGTCTCGACCGACGCCACGACATCGTGGCAATATCTTCTAATGCGCATCTTCAGCGGCCGGCTCCCTGGGGCCGAGCTGTCGTGTACGCCATCCGCAGTAAGAACTGCGGATGTGGACGGGAATCGGGAGCGGGGTAGTGTAGGCGGAACCAGATGAGGCTAATTTCGAAATACCTGCGTCGACGTTAGCATTCCACTAGAACATCTCCTTCCAAGCTCACGGGCAAGCAAACGAATCAGTGTACCTACTGTGTAAGCCACTGTCTACGATATAGACAGCAGTTGCTCACAGTTTCGCCCTCGCATCTAGTCCCGGTCTATCATGATGCGATATAGAGGCTTTCAGACTCTAAATTATGCTTACACTCCACACGGATCTGAAACCCTTACATTGTCGTGGTGGTCATTGTCCTCTGTAAATGGTTATAGTGGAGTGGTAGGGTATCCTCTTCTTCAGTTCCGCGCATCAATCTGACATGAAGGCATAAATGCGTCAGCGGCACAAATGGACAGTCGCAGGAAAATTCTTGCTGGGCAATCTGATTGCTATGCTCTTTGTCTCACTGACCTGTTTCACTTGGAATTTGGGATTTGGGCCTCCTCCCGCATGCTTTCTCAAACCGCAGCCCGATCACTACCATCCTTTTGCCCCGAGATGACACGTAAAGGTACTCTACCTTTTCGCCGTTCTCCTGTCTTCCCACGATACGGAAGGATCAAAGCCCCTGACCGGGGTGGATCACGCATAATTTTGTCCGCTCACATCGTTCCACTAGGTGTGGTCATGATGAAATACACCTCGTGCCTGACGGCAGAAGGTTTAAATTTTTGTCTTCTCTCAAGTACGGTTTCGGGTGTACAATGGTGCATCAGGAGCAATACCGTGCACTTCTATCCCCGACGTATGCATGGTGGGTCCGCCGGAATGCTCGAGTCTCACTTTGTTTATTGTCTTTCGAACTGGGACAACTGGAGAAGGCTATTCGGGACCCTTCGTAGGCTTTGCATCGTGGTGAATGAACTTCCTTGGCCGACCCTTCAGTATCCCTCGCCTCGGAGTACATTTTAATTCAGTTTGCCACAGTGATTGCCCATACAAGTCTATCCTTTCACTATTTCTTTGACTCGGATCTAAAATACTGACTCCTGGCCAGCGAACCTCCTGCCTACCCAGATGGTGTCATAAGCACAATGCCACATTCGTATATATCGTTTTACCCTCTACATCTTTCTTTTTGTTTTGTCTTTTCATTTTTTTCTTCTCTGACTCGACTTAATTTTGCTTCGTGTTTGTGGTCGAGAATGGGGGACAAAGGGAGACCTGTATATGGCGTTCCTAGCCCTTTCGGGCTTCTTTCATCCTCATCGACGGGCCTAATCAGTTTTTCCGTTACTATTCACGATGCCAGTGAATTTCTCTTCATATTACTCTTCGCGTGTTCTCTTATTCTATTACTGTGAGCGGAGCGTCGGGAGCTTCGGTGCCTCCAGATATACGGGAAGTTGACGGTGGTGATATCTATACCTCTGCATCTCCACCAGTACTGACCGATGCATTGTTCGCTGCTTTTGAATGTCTTCGTTCCCCTTGTTCGTAAGTCGGGCAGGTACGCAGATATTTTACTTTGATATCCTCGGCTTCTCGTGCCGTACAAGACTCCTGTAACCCCGTGAACTATCTTATCTCACAGGCGCCGCATACTCCACCATACAACATCATCTGATCCTCGTACGTCGCAACCATGCAATACTTCCTCTAAATGACCATGAGTCTCCGGGTCACGGGAATCTCGATGCTCATTGGTATCTCCACCTTGACTTTACCCTGCAACACGTTGCAAACACATTGCGTATTACCGCAATACCGCGGGAGGAATCGTTCTAGCCGGATTGGTACCGATCCTCCGGTACTGAGTTACTTCTCTAAGGGCTTGAACCTATGGGGACGAATACGATAAGTTGGGGATTTCAAATGCTGCTGATCATCCAAGTACTAGTACGGGACACGCGGTTAAGCGGTTAAACCGACAACTGGAATCGTGCTCTGCCTAGCACGTCGCATTGTCACATCATGTATGAGTTCATGTTTACACTCTGTTCTTTCACCATGTCTTCCGAGTCAATAGCTTGTTCACTCTGTCTCGGTCGCCGTAAATTTAGCTTAGATGCGTCTCGATTTGACAATTTCAAACCCACCAATCGTGGATCGTTTGCGACTGCAGAGAGATGCGGAATCCACAATTGATCATTTCGTCTTTCCAACCCAGGAAACCGCAAGCACGCGAAACGTTGGTACATCCTTCCCGAACCTCAGTCTGACAAGTGGGATTCTCGAACTTCTGGGGAAGACTTGCAGAATGGATCTACACCCGCAACCCACGAGTCTAGACTTCGTTACTCAACCGCTACCATGATGTTAACAAGTCCTCTACTAATTCTCGCACTATGCACAAGTCGGAGTCCAGACGGGGGTGGCTATCAACGGCGACATCTTCCGCGTCAGACGGATGGGGACGGAGATGTTGGGTGGCTGCGCGCAGCACTGACATGAGTCGGGTGTCGTCGCACGGTGCGGTGAGTTGACACACACACGTTTCTGAAAGTGCAAGGAAACGCCGCATTACACGGATACACGTGTTGACTGGTTTCCGAAGCTTCGCAAATAATAGCATTGCACAACACGACCCTCAAGTATTCGTATTCATCCCTACGATTCACCAAAAAATCCTACAGTTTAAGCAGCTAGTGTCGAATATTGTGGATATGTAGCTGCTAGCACGCACCGGCACCCCCGATGGTCGCGACATCATAGGCAAGCCCCCACCACATTACGTTACGTGCTTACGGCTTCCGACGGCGATGACGATGTTTCCCAGAGGGATGTATGAAGGTGGGTACTACATAGTGGCGTGGTCATGGGATCAATACCACTTTTCCGGTCTGTCCTTCTATCCAGTCATACAAATACGAGGTTCCAGATCACGGACCATCACTTTATATCACATGCGCCGCTTTCATGATCCCGAGGGACACACATGTCAAATGAGTATGCTGAGTTCCTATGGGATATACTCGGAATGATTTGTGTGTCCGTGAAAGTGGATGAACTACTGACTACCGTTGTCGACCTTTCGGGGTGCAATATCGTTCCTTTTTCTGACTGGACTGATCCCGATTTACTCGCTGGGTGCTTGTTTTGGAGGGTTTACTGCAAGTGATGGGAATGTTATATCTGTTCCTGCGGAAACAAATACTGATGGCACGCCAGTCTCAGGGTGTGACCGGACGCCACTGATTACGACAGGGCGTGAAAAAGCTTGCAGAAACACCTTCGGTCTGAGTCATACGGATGCGGTCATATCCAACACTCGATTACAGACTTTCGCTGAGATACAGAAGATTTTCAACGAACAAGAAGACAGAAGACAAATTCGCAATTTAATACAGTCAATCAGCATTGTTCTCTGTCCGAGGTTTATTCCTCGACGTATGACGCCGACCCTATGATATGCTTCACCCGGACCTAAACCCCGATTGGTCGGCGGAGTACTGTGAATACCCAATATAACAATCCGGCGGTAAGTAATTACGGTGAGACCGAATAACTGGCTGAAGGGTGACAGTAGTCTTTGTCCTTTAGCTTCTTGACATGACGAGGGGGACTGCGCGATTAGTGGTATGCTGACTTTCGCCTTGGGAAGCCCCACGCCCTTTGCCCTTCTTCGCTCTTGATATATCGCCGATATGCAATTTATGAGAAATGACCTTGGAAATAAGTGACTGGCGACTCACATGGATACCGACCCAAAGAGCCAGTTGGCGACAGAATCTAGTTATCGATTTCATCTCCCATATCTCCCCAATCCCCTCAGAGCTGAACTCAACCTTGTCGGAACCAAACGTGCGCGGCTAACTCGGAGGAGAGTTATGGTACGATGACTGTACTGTGCACATATGTAGATGTTGTGACTCTGTCCGCCTGCTTTCGTTCACTTCGCGACCGTAAATGAGAAATTGCTAGATGCGGCGGGGACACGCGATCACTAGGGAGTCACGAGGTTCGATACAGATTGTGTAGCCATCGGTCCGCCAAACTGGTGTTCCGAACTCTCCGGATCGGTTCAGTCTGGAGGAGGGCAGGAGAAGAATGCATTAAAGTTATGGTCCATGTGAGTTCACAGGGAGCAGGTTGGGAGACGAACGGGTCAGAGTCTATCACACCGTGATATCACATCATATCAAACGTCACGATATTGATCACGAAATCAAAATCGTGTGACATTTCGCAGGTGGGGAGGTCTAGTATGCACTCTGACAGCCAGTAGTTACAGAAGAGAAGGGTTTTACTCCCGCTGTCACTGATGCCATCCGATGAGATGGCGGTGGGTCCAGAGTACATAATCGACTCTTTCGCTTAGATATGAGATATATGAAAGATCGTGAACGACAGAGATTGATTATTCGGGCGTCCATCCTTCCATGACAACTCTTCGCCACTAGCTCCACTCCGACGTCGCGCCCTCACTGAAATGCAAACCTCCGTGTTCCCGGATTCTAGTCGAAACCAAGTTCCCAAGGTGCGATGACCCTGTGCGAAAGCAAGTTTCCCCAATGCCCCGGACCGTCTGCCTGGGCCGTGGCTGGATCGGATACAGCAAGCCGACAGGTACTATTAGCCATTATACCCGCAAGAATGCATGCAGTGCCACTAGGTGCCGCTACGGGCGGATCAGCTGTCCTCTCTGCTTTGGATTCCGCGCGCAACTTCGTGCATGCCACGTAGTTCGGACTTGAAAGAAGTCCATTCAACTAGTTTTCTCGTGCCATTTCAACCAGGTATGAGCCGGGATCCAGTGGGAAATTAATGTTATTGCAGAGCGGTGTCCAGGTCTCCAGACTCCGGGTACAATGTCATTCTCCCGCGCCTTAGCCTTTATCGCGTACATTTTCCGACGCTGACTTGGCGGATACTGTGGGGAGGAATATGCCAGTGCTATCCGGCATGCGTGCACGCGTAGACATGTACTTCGCCTCGCGTTGTGCATCCAAAATTCCACGCACTAGAAATTTGTCTGTCGTAAGTAGAAGACGCCTTCGTGCTGTCAGGAAGCATGACAGGGATCCCGCCTGATCCCGCCTGGCGCCGGCGTACCGCAATGTTCCCTGTTCTCCGTCAAAAAAACACGCGCAAGGGACGTATGTATGTAACAGCACAGCTCGCGCTCTGTATCTGACTCGATGACGGTGAGTCTTCCAGAAGACGACCGTTTATGTCCGAATCCGCGGTGGATAGGCGGGGATTACTATCGAATGGGGCCTGAGTTTGGGGTGTGTGTATTTCTAGAGAAGAAGCCTGGTCGGCGCTTCACTGACTCAACTTGTGTATCAATGCAGACCGACCTTTCGCCGTGTCAGATATCTGGGATGGTACCATCGAAGTGGGCACTGATCGGGGATCAGACAAGGCTACCCAGAATTGCCCTCACAACTCCAGATTCTTAGGCCCTTCCCTTCTGGTGTCGACGGTGCGTATGTCGTACATATGTATGACGCCGCGTCCGCTCCGCTCTTCGCAAACCCAAACTCTGGCAAAAAGTCTGAGTACCGAGAACCATTGTTAATCGCGCCTTTCGGAAGCAAAAGAAATTGACATTGGCATGATATATTTTCCCCAGTGGGAATACGAGAGACGTACGTATGGGCCGGTGTTCCGAACGACAGATTCGGACAGGTGAGTGGGTGAACTCTGGAGGGGAATCGTCGTGGATACCTTGGATGCACCCGAATACCTGTGGCACGCACTGTGCATCGGTAGGGGATTATGTGAGCGATGGTAAATGCACACATTGTTGAGCTCTGTTCGCAGTGGACGTTCTCATTTCCCCAATGAAATATCATGCTCCTTTCCTATCGGAGCGCATGCTCGCATAGCCGGGTCTTGCATGTGTTCCGAGGATGTCACCATGTGCCGTAGGCTCGCACAGCCATGCCGTGCAATAAGCTAGTGCGGGGGAAAACAGGATGGACAAGGATCATTTACGGGGGTGACGCGGACGGGTGAATATGTTGTGTCTCCACAGGTTCGGAGGAACTTTGGTGACGTCGTGCTGTGCTGGATATTGGCATGTACATACAGCAAAATGCCGAGGTATTTACATCCGAATTGGATCCCCTGTGGCGTCGTCACTCAGGCAATAACCTTCCGGAGCTGGCTCTAAAGCGCCAATTTCGCCGGATCACCTCTATGAGTGACCGGTAGGAGTGCGGCATTGGCTCAATACCGTAGGTTGAAGGGGAGGGATTTACGGGATACGGGACGACGATACGGGGTTGGTGACGCTATGAAATGGTGGACCGATAGAGGTGTCTCCGTGGAGACCCTACACATATGTATTCTCTGCGCCCTACGGTAGTGAGGTGTACAGCCACCCGACGAAGGGGATGCGGGGGTGCGCACCTAAGAGGCGGACGAACGGCCGGGTCTAACATACCTTGTATGGCAGGTTCAACCTCGAGTAGGATGAATCTAGATCGATCTCACGATGGGAAGGCCGCCGATGTTCCGGAAACACGGGAGGGGAGGGAGGAGAGACCAGAAGCGAGGGAAGAGACCCAGACTGTCGGCGGAGAGACACTCGTCGGGGGGACGATTGCCGCGGGAAGGAGGACCGATAAGGGGATATCAATTTTATTTTAGCGAGATAGGACGGTTTGGGCGAGCAAAGACAATAAGAAGCGTGTTTGTGCATGTTTGGCTGACAAATGGACAAAGCACTCGTGTCGATTTCATAATGAAACTCTGGGATTCTCGAGGACCAAGTATATAACGAGTAGGCCGTATTGTGTTGGCTGTTTGTGCCCCCGCTCGCTCAATTGTTTGCCAGCCGTGACAGCAGGGGATCCTGTGCAGTGCGAAACCTCCTTTTGAAACAGTGTGTCCCACCAACAAAAGCTTCCCATTCTTCCTCCTTTCCAGACAATCCCCCCCTCTCCTCCTCCGAGTAAGCGGCCATTGTTGTTCTGACACACAATGCCCGCTCTACGCACTCGCGATACCCAGTCTCAATGTGAGTGCGATTCCACCCCCCCACTGCACCATTCATCATCTCATCTCCCCCAGCACTTGAGGTGATTACAGACTCCCTTGCACCACCGGCCTTGGCCATCATCTCACCGACGCCGCGCGCTCATTCCTTTCCTCTTCATCATCCAAATGACACCACTCCTTCACCTGCCCAATCACCATTCGAGCCAGATCTCAGGAAGCTCACGCTCACCCCCCCGTCGTCGTCCCTCGTTCGGTCGTTCTCCCCTGTCTCACCCGCCTCCTCTTCCTCCTCCACGTCCGTCTTCTCGACCACCCTCTCGTCCGCAGCCGCATCCACACCCTCGTCGCACAAACGCCGCAAGTCCTCCACGTGCAGCGACATCGATCGCAGGCCTAAAAAGGGCGACGAGGACTACATCAAACGCCCCGAAAACGCGTTCATTCTCTTCCGCCGCAAATGCTGCGAAGATCGTCAACAGGGGGAGGCCTCCGCACCCGCCGACGGTCCTACCAAGAAGCAGCGCCAAGCTGACCTGTCCAAAACCATCAGTCAACAATGGAAAGCTCTTTCTCCCGAAGAACGTCTCTACTGGGAGGAACTGGCGAAGGCAAAGAAAAAGGAGCACGAACAGATGTACCCCAATTACGTCTATCGTCCCCAGAGGTCAAAGGACAAGAAGGGAAAGAAGGGGAAACGCGGCGAGTTGGAGCACGAGCAGGATTCAGAACACACAATCTCCTTTGTTTTACCGATGACGATGCCAACGACCTCCAAGCACGGTCGCTCTGTCTCGGCACCTACCCCACCCCCGTGCCAGACAATCCAGATCCCATCCGTGTACATGCCGTCTTGTCCCACTTCTCCATCGCTCGTACCGATGATTAGTCGGCGATCGTCCCACCCAGATCATGCTCAGTGTGACTTTGCTACGTCGCACCAGCAGTACTCTCGACATGATACGTTCGCTGCAGTTGATGTATGTGATCATTTTTGTTATCCCCCATTCGTCCTGACATCAATTTAGGCCAATGGTTTCTTCCACGGGATGTTCGACGATCCGTCCGCCCTACATCCGTTGTCGATCCCCTCAGACATGTCGATGTTTCAGTCCAACGTATCGCCTTCCTCATCGATCGCTTCGGATTCGCCCTGTCCACCCTCGCCAGATGCAGATCCTTTCACCCCTATTCACTGCATGCAATCGAGTTTGTCATACCCCGTGCCATCCTCGACCCCACCGACTCTTCCTGATGCACAGATCAATGACGTCCCATTAGTAGGAGGACCGCTCGATAGCATGTCGTTTGGATATGCTCCGCCATCATTCGCATCATGGGAGGGAGGATCCAACTGGGAAAGTCAGCACGATCTTCTGACAGGCGACGAGTTCGACATGAACGCGATTCCTCCGATTGAGCTTGGTATCCCCGGTTGCGGTGGCAACACGACGGCGCCCACCCCCCCTTCGACAGCGATGGCATTCGATGCAATGTATACACCTGGATCGTCGCCGATGGGTATGGACGTGTGTGCAAGCCACTATTCCGTAGGGGACGCGCATGCCGATCCTGAAGCGTTTGAGCAGCTTTTCGATTTCGAAAGCATGCTTGCCGTTCAGCAGGGGTATTGATTATATTCGCCAATGCATGCGGGCGTGTCTATTGGCTGGCTACTGACGGGGACAAACGGACGGACGTTGATCATTCATGGACTGATTTGTACCATCTCATACCATCTTATCACTTATGATATCCAGGGCATCCTCAACACTGCGCTGCAACGATATACGTTCCCTTACCCTTTCCATTTCTTCTATCTACGCATCATCGATCTCTTGGTTCATTCAGTTCCGTGTGGATACTACTGTTGTTGGATTAGTCTGTTTGTACACAGTACTTGCCTTCCTCACGACCCTCTCGATCGAATATCCATTGGAGATCGAGCACGTTATACCCGTCGTGCGTTACCTCCCGCCCTTTATACTTGACATTGACGATTTTCACGTTCCACCTTTTTTATCCTCACCTCTCGCTCGATATATATGTATATGTATATCTCATACCGTCGTCGTTACGTGTTCGGTTCGTGCATGCGAGACTGCTTCTTTGCAGAGATACCCCCTACCTCTACCTCTACCTCTCCCTCCCATCCCCTCACTCGATTCACTCCTGATTCCTGCGACCCTCCCACATTTTCTTACCAGGGTTAATTGGTTCTTTCTTTCCTGACGACGACGTTCTGTTGTAGATCGCATATGCAGAATGAACGGTGTCATTGGGAAATATATGGCGTGATCGGCACTCGTAAGTTCTGGATTCCGTGGGCGAGTAATACGTGGAGAATGCTAAGTAGTCCGTCCGTTTTCTTGTCTTGATGCTTGCGCCCTTTAGTTGAATAAAGAACTTGTACTACGTACATACGGACGCCCCGAAGTTCGTGCAACGGAATCGTCAACGTATCACGCATCTACCGACATCGGGCACCTCTCTGAACAAATGTCTGGAATTCAATTCTAAGATGTCCTTGAGTCGTTTCATTATCAGCCCTTGTCAGTCGTGGAGGAGCTGGGGTCGTTGACGGACTGTATACTGTAACATGTCGCAAGTGACACAGATATCAGAACTGTGCAATGGTCCGGCAGCTGACACTGGTCAGCATGATCGATCGGGGATGTCTTCATGTCGTCAAGTTACCGTAGTAGGTTCTACTCATCCGCACTTGCTTTCTAGAGACCTAATGATTAGGTGTTAGCAGAACTCGAGAAAATGGAACGCACGACTTTTCCGAACAATAGGTCAGACCGTGTGATCACCCGTATCGATAAACATTTCCATTTTTCGAGATAAAATCTTGCCTCGACGTCAACACTTCCATCATCTCATCTTAGGGACGCATGGACCGTTCGCCAGCACTTTTCATACGTGTCATAAAGTGACGTAGATCAGCTCCAATTGCGCTGAAACTTCGAGCAAAGGTTATGTCCCCTTTCTTGTGCACCGTTATGTCCTGTGCTCCACGAGTGGGGAATAACATTTCTCTGCGACGACCCGAAGTCCTTTGCACGTCCGCGTCTGATTATTTCCGCAAAGATATCTTCACCTCGTTTGTGATCAGAGCAGAGCAGGGAACGTATAGGGACGCAAGATTAGCCCAGGCATCGATCTCTAAATACTCACTCTGCAGCCTCTTGAAGTTGACGCCTGATGATTCAGTTCGGTACACCCAAGTACCTCTGTCTGTGAAGAAATGTCGTACTGCGCACAAAGCGGGTGACTGGAGCCCTGCCCAACCCATAGTTACCGACGAGCAGGATAGTGGATAAGTTGCTACCGGTGGTCGTGAGATCATTAGTCCTGGCACTTGCAGCCTCAGTTGGTCTTGACCATCGATGACCGGATAGGAAATCCCCGGAGTCTTCCCCACAACGCTGAGGAGCCATCACAGAAGGTAAATACGTGAACAGCAAAGGCGAGTGGGGATGTCATACGTCCACACCCTCTTGAGTCTGTCCGTTGCTTGCAGCGCTGGGGTTGCACATAGGTGTCGCTCGTCATGGGTAACCGCGGGAGGAGACAGGTGTCGTTCGTGTTGCCTACGTATCCTACGTCAGCGTTGATCCGCTGCCGACCTCGGGCCTTGCGAGTGCGAGAAGTACTTGCCGCACCCTCGCACTGCGAGCTGAATGTGATTCCTAATTCACACTTGACATAATGGGCCAGTCGGCGCTACACCTTCGCTGCTACCTTGGATCGGAGAAAGTAAGTATGGCGGAGGCGGCTCCAGACGTTCCCTTCTACCCAGACCCCGTCGCCGCGTCAGTGATCCCGCGGAAAACGGCAGCGCCAACCCCGAAGCGGTCGACGAACTAGAATCGGACAGCATGAAACTCGCCTACCCTAACTGCAGCCCCCAAGGGCGAGGTGACCCTTCAATGTTTTGTCGACCCTATGCTGAAGCATCACTTCTTTGGAAGACGGCGATGCATATACGCCGCAATGTGCTTGGGAGGACTCGTGCGACTGCTGGTTTTGCGCCGATACGTACCCGAAGTTGGAAACTGGTATTAACGACATTGGCGGCATTTGACTTGTTCAGGACTTTTTTCACTGGACGTTCTGAATCAGTCTTGAGTCACATCGCGGAAGATTTGAAAATGAATTACATAGACATAGATTCATGGGAATCACCAGGTATACCTAGTACTAGCGAAAAGTCGACGAAAGAAAGTACAACCAACCCAGAGCATCCAAACACAAAGAAACGAGTATAAGTCTGTCACCGAATCAAGTTATCATCCTCCAGTGGAAGAACCCATCCTCGTCAGGGGCTTTGATCAACCCCTTGAAGATATACCTCTCCCGCAAATAATCCACCCTCTTGACTCCCTGACTAGCCTCCAACTCCGCCGTGGAAGGTACATTCTTATATCTCCTTGTGTACGCTCTGGCAACGGCCGTCTGTTCAGAGTCGGATAGTTTATTCCAGTCATGATGGGTGATCTGACGATGAAGTGACGAATGTATCATGTACAGAATGTCACCGAGCGTGATAGGAGGTGGGGGTCCTGCAGTTATTGGGTACTCATCGTACCTCAGCTCGAGGTCGATCGGCCAGTCTGGGATAGCGTCGTGTGTTATCCGCATCCGAGTGATTGGCGGATTCGTAGCGGGAAGGTTCAGTTCCTCCGGGGAGATTATAACAGCTTGGCTAGGTCCGATATATCGCATCGGTGCGAAAGTGGGAGACGCAAGGTTGAAGTAAAGCCCCGAGTTGGGAACTTCGCCATTGAGAAGTGGATGTATCTCGAAACGAGGGCATGGCCCTTGGTAAGGATATGCCCAGGGTAGGAATTGGGTGTTTCCCCATTGGTAGGCTCCGAAGGAACGTCGTCTCGAGGGATACGGAGAGTCGCGGGGTTGTATGTATGGACTAGGAGGCTGACCGGCATGCCATGACGGTCTCCGCGGACGAGGAGGCCAGTAGCCATCCTCGGGGGGAAGTTCTGCAAAAGGTGGGGAATAAGGGGTGGTGGATGGAAGAAAAGGAGATGGAGGATAGTGAGGGGATGGTGGGAAGGCTGCATGGGGAGGTAGGAATGGTGAACGGGGTGCGTAAGGGCTGTAGTGGAGATATTGCGTTGGCTGAAACGCGGGTGGGGTGTAGACGTAGGGAGCTGACATCCTGACGTCGTCTGAAAGATGATGAGAGACAACGTATGGGATGTTTAGGAATTAAATACAACCCACCAGATGAAAAGTGGATACGTGCGAGAAGTTGCTAGTACCTGGGGAAAACGCCAGAGTCAGTGCGAGTATATGTGTGACGCTACCGAAACGCAATCGAATGACTGATTAGGGCACAGCCATCGGCGGCTCCTAACTCAAACCGATCCTGTCAAGCACAGCCACAACACTAATCAGTCAGCCAATCAGTACTTCAGTTTGAAACAGCCTCATGACTGCTAGCAGATATTCCTGGGCTAATATTACAAATAAAGGACGAGGAGTGGAGTACATACGTGAAAGGCAACACCGAAACCCTAGCTAAATGTACAACCGTAAGTCCAATAGCCATCAACATCAACATCCGTAAAATGGTTCGACGATCCATATGCATCGAACGGGGCGTTTCGTGCGTATTCGTGAACAGAGGGAGTAGTAATAATGAGCGTGTGGAATGAAGGAAAGGTCGGCCAAAGGGTTCGAATATACCTAAGCCATTTTACGCCTTGCCGAAAATAAGCTTCCCGGTGTTGGCGCCATTGCCGTGCTTTTCCACCTCGATACCTACGAGTCTCGTTTTCCCATGGAGCCAGTCCAGGCGACGAACACCACCTTCCCACCCTCCACCCATCTTGGTGCACCTTTTCTCGTAAGCACGGGTTACCTTACGTTGCGCCCGGCTGCCGTGTCCTAGGGCCTCCCATTCCTGGGGAGTAACTCTGGTGAGAAGAGTCACATGCAGTGCGTACAGAAGGTCGAGATTAGTAATACTAGAGGACCGAGATCTAGACGAGGAGCCTATGGAACCTCCTGAGCCCGAGCTCGAGGGGCCGACGACCACAGGCCAAGGGAACTTGTCAGAGCGTAGAGTAAGCCGGGTCGATATTGGAGTGGGCGGATCTGTAGCGGGCTGAGCCAACGTGTGTGCCGGTACAGCCATGTGCGTCGTCCGATCTAGTACGGTGCGAGAGGAAGGTGTATATGATACATCATAAGAAATAGGCGCGCTATGTAACCGGGTCGACGCGAAGAGTGGATGCACGTGCAGAGAAGGGCGCACACCATACACACCATGTGGATCCACACTTCCCGCATCTACAAAAATTTGGTACGGATGAGTCATTAGAGGCAAGCAACAGAACTTAAAAGCCGCACAGGAGTGAATCGATCCTGACGCAGACGACACGCTGCCATGCCATGCTGGGTTTTGCCGAAGTGATGGTCGCCTCTCATACCGTACATGATGAGAGCTACTTCCGGATGACCCAGGCCGCGCCATCCCCGGAAGGAGGGAGGAACTTGAATTGGTTCGAGACGATGGTCCATAAGGACGCTGAATGAGCTACAGACGAAGGTGTATACATCCCGTAATGTGGAACTGAATCACACCGAAGATGAGCATTCGTGTGGTGCAGTGAAACAACTAGGACTTACGGTGTTCCGATGACTTGTAGCTGGCACGCCTGTAGAGATGCGATTTTGACGGTGTCCCATACCTCGAATCGCCGGACGAGCTAGGCACTTGTCCAGTAGCTTCGAACGTTGCATAACGCAATGGGGACGGCGTTGTGGTGCGCGCAGAGTAACTATTGCTGCGTTTCGTTTTGAGACGAGGAGCAGCGGGGGCGGGTGCATTGTTACCAGCGTTTGCATAAATGTAGTTGGAGGAAGCGGACGAGCGTGAGCGACTATGAGACTTGGACGATTGTTGTCCATGAGACTCGCGGTCGCGGCCACCAAAGATATAACGGAGGTAAGAGGTCATAGTGCAATCGTAAAAACAAAAAGTATACACTGGAGCGGAAAGGTCGTTACTAATGGCGTAAGGAACCAGGAGGTTTGAACCGCAGTTGCTGGGGAGAATGCGACCCTACTTATAAGAGGGTATGCCGTGGTCTGGAACGATGGTCAGCATTAAGTATTAGAAAGTGAAGTTCTAGGGCACCCCCGTGACGCGAAGTGTTGAAGTAATTGGTCCCCCGAAAAAATGGGAGGCTACCTCCATGACGGCTGTCTTGATATGTTGCAGAGATCCCTGGAATCTTCAATGCACATTTTTGGAGGCGAACACGGCGGTTATGACGTCTTAAAAGGAGATACCGGTACGTTGCAGAGTCGCACAGGGCGCAGCAAGATAGCACTGAGGTAATAAACGACCACCTGCAGCGTAACTGCGCGGACTGAAATGGGATGTTGGCGCGATCAAGGTTTGCCTTGAGGCGTTTTCGCGTCGACACATGCCCGCTTCTCGCCATGCGCGTGTAAGACGCGTGTTACAGTTTTGATCATCGAGTCGCGCCGCCATTGCCCGCCGACTCGATCTGCCACTTTTCTCGCTTCCACAACGACAGTTACAAGTATGGCCATACTGTATCATCAACTTTAAATGCGTGCGGCAAGTATCAGACAGCGTATCGGATGTGAGAATTCTAGAATATGAGTAGTTCTGATAAGGGCCCTTGCCACATAATAGCAGTGGAAGTCACTGCAAGCTCGGCGGACCGTCGGAGAGTAGGTCCCCACAGGCGCACGCCAGCTATATTATATTATGATCGGGAGACTTGCCACCCAGAAACTCCCTCGCGCTTGGTGCGGATCAGGTCTAGACCTGCGCATAGACAGCTGGCGACCACTGTGATAAGCCTCAAGTACAACTTGAAACGCATATGAAACCAGCCAATCCTCAAGGTTCACAAATAGGCGATATGACCCATCGGGTATTCGCTACCCTTTCCTGCGAGATTCGTGATCTGCAGATTCCAGAACCGCGAAGCCGGCAACGCCTGGTGAAAAGTAGAGGGCCGCAGCACTCCTGCAGTTGTGGAGACTAGAGCCATCATGCATCATGTATGGTCTTGGGCCGTCCTTAAGATGTCCGCGTGGCTTTCTTTTCAACTTGCAGTGATCTTTCGTCAGGGAGGTCCCTGAGGTTCGAATAGGGAAGAATGAGTAGCCTGATAGGATGTCCTGAGGCCCATCAAATACGCGGAGTTGTAAATGGACGTGCCTGGCAGTCGCATCCGAAGGGGATGACAGGACCTCCGGTACGACTGTTACCAACGTAAGGTAAGTTATTCGATGCTGCGCCTGGATAGAAACACCCCCATTTTGGTATGAAGGAAAAATGTGTCAATTGTGAAGGTTCAACGTCTCTTATTAGCTACAGCATGCAGTCTTTGTACATTTGTCACAGACGTGTCGTAAGTTGGGACAGCAAGGCAGGGTTTCATATGGAAAGCCAGACACTCGCGCCACATAATTTTTGAACTCAGCGCCGAACGCCCGAGCACTTACTACTTTTGAAAAAAACTTTCGGCGAGACCCCAATCACCATTGTGCCGTTGATAGATGTCCACTCATCATTGTGCCAACGTCCGAAGTTCCATTACCATAGGTTCACATGCTATAGCGATAGATTTGACGGTCATTTACAAAACAGTAGCATAGAGTTTTATCCAAGCCCAATATCCCATAGATCTACAAGCCACAACAAAAATCTTGCTTCACTAACAGACATACCTTGGCCAGCAAGAAAAATAACCAGATCTTCATTGTTATGCGCACGCTTGTGCGCCTGGATAATATGTTCGACGTCCCCAGCACCATATCCATGGGATGCAAGATAGCAAGCCGCTAGGTCACCAAGTGGGTGAGCAAGGTTCCAGATGCATGAAGTCGAGGTTGGATAATAATTGCTGGAAACTGATGCCACGAAGATTACGGACATGACTATAAATGATGGGAGAGATCGCATGGCCTCTGACCTAGATGAGACAGTTGATGTCAGAGTGGAGGAGTGAGATGTAGATGAGGTATGCAAAAAGGTTGGGTCAGACGATGACATAGAAGCACATGAAGGCATTGAGGTAGTTTGTTGAGATTGAGGCAAAATGGATAGCAATCGATGGAGCTGTTCAGCCAAAGAATTGGCTGTGGCTGGAGGGGGACTTTCACCTATCTGGTCATGCATCAACATGGGTGGCATGTGTTGTGGGACTCCTTTGACAATCATGAAGGCTGAATGCAGTCCAAAACGAAGTAGTTTCCCTTCGTACATGGTATTTAAATGACCCTTCAGCACTGAGTTGTGCTCTCGCTGAATGAAATCAAGCTACAAACTACATAGTATGAGATTAAAGACTCATGCTGTGCAATGAATACCAGGGGGCAAACCAATGATGATCGCATAAAAACTACTTTCATCTTCCAGTAACGTCCATACATGTGGAATGTCAAATGCTGCAAGTATCTGCATGTAGTCTGCATTGTGCAGAAGTGTATCTACTGATGGCTTGAAGAGTTTTTGCAATGTGGCTAGCTTCAGAGCTTGTTTTACATTGGATCGCAAGGGGGAAGGCTCGTGTCTGATGGCCACATGCAATAAATGGACTATGGACTGTGTTTTAGTACTCGTATTGAAGATCGGGTTGTATGAACGACATACCAGTCCTCAGACCCATAAACATGGGCACCACCATTCGCCACCAACAAGAGCCCAGCAGTGTTCTGAGTTGGCCATGTAGATGTTGAATGCCAAGAGCTTGCCATCGCACCACTTTATGTACCAGAATTTGCCAGGCATTCCAAGAAATGGGATGGATAAGAATGAGTGCAAGGCACCTAGTGAACCTGCTCTTGAGAAAGTAAGTTGCTTTCTCAACAAAGACATCAATACAGTTATACTCCCAAGGGTTAACCTCGCCAATCGAAGAATGATGCCACATGACCAGCACATGTTGTGTGAATGCTCGAGGTTGTGTGATCTTAACCACTCTCGTATGTAAAAGTACTACATGAGGTTTTCATTCCAGGACACCACAAGACGATAATGATGCAATTGTGTAAGATGGGGAGACTACCAGCTGCCGAATTGACAAACTAGCTCGTAAGGAAGATGTGAGATAGGCTACATTCACAGACCTGGCATTGACATCCTCCTCATCTGCCTCATCATCCTCCTCCTCTGAAGAAAACTGAGCCACTAGAAGTGGAGGAGCAGCATTGATCTCATTGTAGATATCAGGCTCGTCAATGTTCAGAGCATCCATTGTCTGTAGATGGCTGGCCTCTGAAATGAACGGGAATCAGAAAGGATTGCTGTTTGGATTATGAAGCAAACACTTATGAAGGCCCAGTCCATTTGCAACGCCACCCATATAACCCTCCACTTCATGGAGAGCACGGAGGCCTGGCAGGAGATTCAATTCCTCAGAAGCTGCATTGAGATGGTCTTCCATTGCTGTCAGAATGGCAGGCACTCCCTCACAGTGCTGCATTAGGTCCAGGATATTGCAGTAGACAGTCCACGTGGAGGTGCGTCCAACAGAAGGGCTGCCCAATTGAAAGTAACATGCTTCAATGAACGCTTTGAGAGAAGGGGGCACAAGGTCAAACACGATGTGGTTGGGATCGATGTACAATCGTCACACTCGTTCAATGGTGTCTGGAGAAACCATTATCTACATCATGCACAAATACATAGTAGATTAGCATTGAAATGTAAGCTACAAGATAGTTAGGACATGCCTTGAAATTCAATGCCCTGTAGTCCTCTGGGCATGTATAGATGAGTTCTGGGATTCTGTGAGGCAAAACCTTTCTTTTGTCACGATGCTTTCGGCTGTTATTGATGTGGTCTTGATAGTTGTTTAGCTCAACTTGGAGCCAAGGGATGAATACCCATCGAAAAACCATGCTGTGGATGGGGTCACTTTGAATACATACAGGGACAGGCAGTGAATGGCATACTTACAGCTGTAGCGTGTTGTCGGGGTCATACCAGCCAGAATCTACACCCATATCAAGTAGAGATTCAAAACCTGGGGAGAAACGGTGGCAGAGCTGGGACCAGGCTATCTCTGGCTTGATATTCTTCTTCATATGCATCCACCGGTGCTGAACATAGCCCTCAAGAGCCAGATCATGCATCTGCCGCAGTAGAGTTTGTGTGTTCGCAATTCTGAAGTTTTCGGTACCTGGATCACTTTGAGTGATCATGGGAATGTCTTATGGACCGTGAATTTGAGCAAAAATAGGAACATATGCGTGGAACTTACAGCTGAATTCTTCAACAGTATTGAGGTAATAAGAGAGGATGAGCTGTGGGTTGCGATTGGAGTGCCAAACCCTGGTCCAGAGGATATGGCCTGAAAAAGGTTTGATGCTGGTGTGTAGCGCAAGGCCAAAACGCAACCACTTGTTGTGCTGGTCCACAGCCCATATATTGTTTATGCCGGCTGCCCAGAAATGGCAACGCTGCAAACATTTGGCTTTGCAGCTCTTCAATAAGTGGGGTTCATAGGTAACAAAATACTCTTGGATCACGCTTCTATGTGCCAATTTCTCATCAGCATTCTGCAAGTGAGCAGACAATTGGTCATGGTTTGCTTACCTTGAGACAGCCATACCGTGCTCATGAAAGAGCAGCCCAATCATCTCACGTACCCCCGCATCGGGGTACATTTTCCACATCTCAACCATGATGTCTTGGATACTCTCGCAGGTGTGTCCCTGTTGGTGGGTGCAAAGTAGTCCAAGCTGCTTTCGAATTTCCTGAAACTTGGTGAGGCTGAGATTATCAGTGAGTCACGAGTCACTCCCTTTCAAAGAAAACCTCACCCAATACCATAGACACTCATATTGATATGTTTGCGGATTTCGGAAACAATCTCCTTATCTGTCAGGTGGGCTTTCCACAGTCGCCTGATGTGGGGCTCGATTTGGTCAAGGGGTGCTGTAGGTCATGAGTAATACATCATCATATCGCTGGGAGAACTAGCACTTATGAGTAGGTTTATTCTGATTCTTCGAGAGGGTAGACATGAGAATGGTGCACTGTAAGCTGAAGGGTTTCCACAGTAGTCAGTTCACCCTGACTCTTAAGATCTCCTGTTGATGTGTTAAGATGTACTGAAGCTGTGTTATAGTGTTGCGATCGCAAGCATTGCAGACATGTGCGAGTCATTGTGATCACAAGTATTACAGACACATGTATGGACAGCCAATCGCTTAGGGTCTCTGTTCAACCTTCTGCAATGGGCACATTCACCATGTGTCTATCTCCTCATGCTGCTTCGATGGGCTGCCCTTGTCCGATGCTCGATGAATTGGGTTCTTGTCCTACTCTTTCATGTGACTGTTCAAGACAAACCATGCCTCAAGGTTGCAAATACAACCTTTTACCATGGATTCTGTCACTCGATTTAACCCCCTGTGTCCTCAAGGTACAGTCGTGTTCCTGACACCTACAGGTAGGCTTCCAAATCCATTCAAGGACCCGTTCCAAAGTTCATCAGCCATCTGCTACACTTAAGGTCAATGCTAGGGCCGCTGCATGAAACGTCCTCACATATTTCATCGTCTGATTCCATCTTGACTGAAGTAAGTGCCCAGAATTTATCTCATGACAAACTAGCTAATGAAGGAAGTTTGTTACATTTTTATGGTCAGGCCTTGTGTGTGCCAGTGGTTCCATCGACTGGGATACCAGCCGGTCATCATCTGGTGGATCGTACTTAACCTGTTTACCGTTGTTCTTGCCCATTCATTCAGTATCTTCATTATCTTGTGATCCTTCCCCCATGCAAGCATCTGTTTCAAACCTTGTTACTCAGTTTACTGAGGATGCATTCACAAAAGAAGACAGGATCTGCCAGCGGTCTCGGTGCCAAGCTCTGATACGCAAGGGCAAGCCTTGCCTCTATGTTGCCACCTATGATCCTGCTCAGCCCTGGTAAATTCATCTGTGAAGCATGTCATAGGTGGTACAAGAACAAACCTGCCACCATAGCTCAGGCACAAAACACCAATGGTATGTATGTTCTGCTCTGTTCGTTGGGCTTGGACTCATACATCCTCAGCATTACCTGATCCATGGTACATACATCAGTCCATAAGTGCTGCACAGTCGTGAGGTATGTCCAATCTGTGCATTCAGACTTGCTGCTAAACTCAACTTATTTGTAGCTTTGGTCAACCCCCCCCACTGTCATGGCCATGTCAAATGCTGCTCCAAACCTTGGCAACTTGGCAATGCTGATGCCTCCACCGCCAACACCAACTGCTCATCACAACTCCAAGTTTTCCCCTGCTGGTCCAAGTGTCCAAGTGCCATCCACTTGGCAGAATGTCCCTCAGCCAGCAAACCCTCCAGCAAATGCTGCATCGGGCCACATGATCATGCTGCCACCTGGCTCCACTGGTTATAGCACACAGCATGTGCATTATGCAGCTCAATGTGAACGTTGGGCACACATGGCTCACAATCTGCCTCCCCCAGAGACAATCTCCTTAGAAATATGGGCAGTCTTCAAAGCTGGGGGCAAAAAGAAGAATCTGCGAGCAAACAACATCAGGGTAAGTTTTGCTCGATTCAGATTGTATGAGCAGTGTTAATCGAGTTCAATAGAGTATCTGTGAGGGGCTGAAAGACGTTGATGCGCTGAGCACTGCACACTAAACTTTTGGCCATAGCACTTGGCATTTTGGTACCTGTGCATCAAAGATTACTGCCCACAGTTTCCCTGGCGAGAGGAGGAATTCTTCATCTGCAACAGTAAATGGGTTGACCTTTCCAGACATTCGAGCCCAATGGCATACTTTTATGGTGACTGTCTCCATGACAGCAATCGGAAAGGATCAAAAGCGAAGGTTTTTAAATCAAAACAGTTCATGTTATTCATCATTGTACCTGCAAATCAATGGGAAGAATTTGAAGAATTTCGAGAGAAGCTCTGCTCTAGCCCACCTGCCCATGAACAGCAGACATCTCGGGCCGGCTTGAGCACTTCTCTCCCTGGTTCTACAGTCTCAACGCCAGTTGTACCTCAGAGCACAATGATTTCTGAGCCATCCACTCTTTTTTTCTCCAAGGGAGTGGTTTCTACGATGTCAAGTAGCATGTTTGATCGCCCAATCTTGCATGATGTGGCACATCTTCGGGATGGAGAAAAGGTATGCTTAGCTCCAACATGATTTTGACCCAACCCATCCACTAACACATTGAACATAGGATATGGTGCCGCCCACTAATTCAAGTGTGATGTCCTGGTAAACGCCACCACCGTCATACTAGTAGTTTGTCCAGTGGTTCTACTCCCCTTCCACCCCAGAAGAGATCTGCGAAAACTTTCTTGTCCCCCAACCACAATCAAATCAAGAAAGCATTACAGTCTGGGGGGGCCTCCGAATTCAATGTAAAGACAGGTAAGCAGACTTTCCAGTTGATATCATTGTAGTTTCGAAGTACTGATGTATCTTAGTCTTCCTGGCAGAAAGTCAGTACAAGTGGACTTTTACCCCATCCCGACCCATGATCTTAATGATCTGGTCAGTGAGAAGGCTGCATTTGATATTAGAAATGCTGACCTTTGCTCTGGGAAAATCCTGGCTCGATGCCTCTGCCAATTCGATCATCAGAGTCAGAGCATTCAAGATGGCCCAAATTGTGCACAACTCAACCTATCACCTCTCAGGGACACATGGTATTGGGTCATCTCCCAATGATTGCATCATCCTCAAAAGACCATATATCGACGACCATCCTGTGGAAGTCAAACCCCCATTCACACATTATGCCCTACAAGATGAGTCCAACATACTCTACCGCAAAGCTAACACTTTGTACTGGGCCAAAGCACTCTTGCAGATGACTGTACCAATTTGTTGATTGTGCTGTCGAAGATACCAAGGTACTGCCACCTTTCGAAATTCCTTGCCTGTGCTTTGTGGACGCAGGATTGTTATTTGCATATTCAGATGTGCCAGTGGAAACAGAAAGGGGGTCTGGGAAGCTGTCCAAGCCCAGCAGTATTGTGAATGTCGCATACCTTGTTGAGGAACTCATCCACACGTCCTCAGATGATGAGTTTGTGAAGTACATCCACAACAGCAATGTGGCTCCTTGCTTCCTTCTGGATACAAAGGCAGAAGAGATCGCAGACTTTTTGGCCTTCACTCAACACATACAGTACATCATGACTGGTGGTCAAGTATACATATCTGACTATCAAGGTAAGCTGTGGTGATAGGTGGCACTATTCATGCATCTACTTACATGAGTTCAACCAGGTAGCAGACTGCTTTTGACAGATTTGCAGATCCTCACACATCCGTAAGTACATTTTACTCAGTATTCTACCTTGTCAACATCCCGCGCTCTTTTATTGTCCCTAGTGATGTTGCTGAAGGTCGAAGACTCTTCGGTGAGGGGAATGTGGAGAAAGGGGTGGCGCTGTTTGAGAATCAACATATTTGCAACTTGTTTTGTAGATGGGAAGGCTTTGGGATGAAGGCTTTCAGCCATGGATCGAAGTCTCTTTGTTCAACCACTTAGACATTAGACACATACATACTCTAAGCTGTGGGTCTATGTGATATTGAACTCAGATAAAACTACACAATATTTTTTGTAAATGACTGCCGAATCTATCACTATAGCATGTGAACTCATGGTGATGGGACTTCGGACGTTGGCACAATAGCGAATGGACTTGTTGTATTGGATGTTCAACAATGGTATAATGGTGATTGGGGTCTCGCCAAAAGTTTTTTTTCAAAAGTAGTAAGTGCTCGGGCGTTCGGCGCTGAGTTCAAAAATTATGTGGCGCGAGTGTCTGGCTTTCCATAGTTTCATGAGTATAGTAATATGTCTGAACAAGGTCGAATTCCTCTAACGTTGTGCTTGTTTGGTGCGGGCTCAACGAAGTTACTAAATCGTGAAGACTCGGCGGTGGCGCTAATACCTCTCTGACTTACGTTGCAAACAACTAAATCCTTCATGAAGGCAGCAGTTAAAACTCTCCTTGGTAGTGTACGATCGCAGGTCAAATCCCGTTTTTATGTGGATTTTCCCTCTATCTCAGACGGCTGTGATGAGCGCACTTTGCTTTATCGTCATCGAAAGCAACGTGGTGTCAACATAGGTACGAGCCTGCTGTGTCCACCGGTCTGTTATTACCTCTGTTTCAGGTTCTTGGTTTGTGCTCGAACGATGGATCACTGAGCAGCCCTTCCGATGTGCTGCGCCTCCTTGTCAGAGTGACCTGGACGTTGCAAGGGGTGCGCACGCTAACGAAATCCTTGAGCATCACTGGGACTCGTGGGTATCAGCCACGGATTTTGAGTGGTTGTCCGCTATGGGTATCAATACCGTGCGGATCCCAGTAAGCACTCGTGCACCGCTCAGCACTTGCCTCCTTGAATCTTCATAAAAAGATTGGCTATTATCATTTATGCGGCGTGGACCCCTCTATTCTGCGCGGTACTGACTTTGACGGCTTGGAATCCATTTTTGGAGGCGCATGGTCTCGTATCGTTAAAGCAATCGAGACGGCGGATCGATACCAAATTGGTGTTCTTTTTGGTTTGCACCACAACTGGGTTGTGCTTTGATTTCATTCAACCTTCTGGCAGATCTCCACGCTGCTCCAGGAAAGCAAAATCAGGATTCACATTCTGGGACGTCTTCGCCTACTATATCGTTCTTCCAGATGCAATTTAATCTCCAACTCACGGTCCGCATTCTTCGTATCTTAGTATCAAGTCTCCGTTCCTTGCGCTTCGTTCATCGCCCCCCACTTCCAAATGTAATCGGAGTCGAACTTTTGAACGAACCCAAACCACCGTATCCCGCGGCTCTGCAGGCATGGTATAAGAATGCCATAGAGGAAGTTCGGCGCCTGGATCCCAGCCTCCCTTTGTTCATATCCGACTGTTGGATGCCTGACGCATACGCTGACTTTGTTAAAATGCTTCCGCCTACCGCGCCGCCAATTTGTCTAGACCACCACCTCTATCGTTGCTTCACGTCGGAGGACGTCTCGACGGCTGCGGCACAACACTCTACATCTCTATCAAACCCCAATGCTCCCACACCTCAAACCTTTGCGCGTGTCGCCAGTAAACTCGAAGACGCTGGCGGAGCCTTAGTCGTTGGCGAGTGGTCTGGGGCGCTGAACCTGGGCTCTCTTGTAGGCGCAGCTGACGAACGACGTGAACGAGCGCAGTTCATCCAAGCTCAGTTGGATCTCTTTGAGCGGCATTGTGCGGGATGGTTCTTCTGGACGTACAAGAAGGAATTTCCGGGAGATTCAGGATGGTCATTTAGGGATGCCGTTGACACAGGTGTATTTCCTTGTCGAGTTGGATTGTTCCCTGTCAAGTCTATCCCACGTGACCACACCGAGTGGGCTGAGAGAAAGGTGATTTCATGTAGTTGTGCAGCAGGTCGATTTTCTCTTTGTTGTCCAGCCAGTTGTGCTCACCGTCAAACTGAAGCGCGGCACATGTCCTATTGGGCGCAGTATCCGGGACGCTATGAACATTGGCGATTCGAGAAGGGATACGACCAAGGTTGGGTGGATGCTTATTATTTCTTGACGTCTGGCGCTTTTGAGCATGGAGCTGTGAGTGAGCTTGGACTGAAAGGGATTTGGAAAAGGAAGAGGGTGCATGAGCACGCACTGCGAGCAGGTCACAGTAACAATTTATGGGAGTATGGTGAGTCGACGGATACCATGGCATTGATCTGGATATCCTCATTTCGCGCTGTGGTTTGGCATTCCCGAGGAGCTCATGCACCGCGTTGCAGAACACGGCTACCAGCAAGGGGTGGAGGAAGCTGCCGTTGATTTCCAGAGAGCATACTGTTAATTCTGGGGGACGGCACGTTCTGGACTTGTCGTGCGTTCGCTGGGATGGTAGCGCAAATTTATGTCGGACCACATATAACATACACGCACCTATACTTTTTGTGTCCAGTTACCACAGTGAAGAGTGAAAGCGACTTTGGTATGTGCAGGTCCGAGAACAAGAATGGGGACGGGGGGATTAGGTCGGTGAGGATGATACCACGTCGAATCACCATAGTAAAGAACTCATCAAGGGCCCAACGTAGGATGATGTCGTTGGTGAAGGGGAAGACAGGAAGCAGCGACATATAGGATGAACGGATTAGGTGGTTTGGAAGACTACCCCATTCAGCCGATCTTTTACATTCTGCGAACTCTGATGCATCACCGGTTTCAATTCAAGTTTGCCGGAGATGACTGGACTGGTCAGAGAATGCAAGTGCAAGCAAGGCATGAGATGCCAACAACCGAAAAGCAAGGATGATGTTAGGTTAGCTGACACAGATCTGCTTTGAAGAGAATGAGGTGTGCATCATTGAAGTGTGGCTCCAAATCCAGTCTGAACCGATGAGGACAACTGCGGAAAGGGGTATCGATATTGCCTCAAATTATGAGTAAACCTATTGAATTCTGGAAGACATGATTAACCAACAAGGTGATGACACTCTTGGATCACTAGGTCCAGCTGAGTGGGCACATCGAATACCGATATGCCGAGGGAGAAAGTGCGTCCATTCAGCACGTCAACTGCTTGCGCCGTTCGATTACGACACTCGGGCTAAAGGAACTACCGTTCACAGTGTGGGAATGATTTGCAAAGGTCACAATGACTTTAGGACTAGAACCCGTCGACAACCTGACTTTATATCCATGGCCTCCTGCAATTCTGGTCCGCTCTGGTTGGACCATGAAAGTATGGGCCAAAGCCTGGATATGGTTATCGTCTGAGACCGGTGCCATGTGGCAACCTACACAGGAGTGGGACGCAACCTTCAGTCGGAACTTGAGCTGGCATGGCTGTCCACCTACCTGGGTGCCCTTGACATGTCGAATGGAATTTTCGAAGATCTTCTATGGATCAAATGACGCTGACAATGGTTGAACTGACAGTTCCGCGACTCAGTTCGGCGCTTGGGAGGTATTGTGCAGGGTATGTACTTACATTGCAATCGAACACCTCCTCAGATTTGACAATTCGACATGTTACATAATATTTCTAAGTATGCCCCACATTTTGGTTTGATGTCGTGATCTCAGATCTGCATCTTTGTGTATGGCTGTGCAACTTGAGAAGTGCTGCAGGTGAGGCACCTTCTGCTAGGAGTATGATTTGCCCATCGCAGGGAATACACAGGCTCGAGATTCTTGGGTGTGACATGGTGTGCACAAATGCGATGGCACATAAGGGCATGCTGCTCAGCCAAAGGCAGCGGACGAAAGGCAAAAGAACATACTAATAAATAGTACTCTACACCTACGGCTCGTTCTTCGCCTCACAATAGAGCGGCGATACGTCAATAGGTACGATGCATTCCATGGCCCTGAACAGTTCGGGAAAACGACCCCTGTCATGCGGGCAATCATGGATGTATATATACCAGCTTTTTGAGCTGCGTGTCAATCCCCTCGATTCTTTCTCTCCCTATCTGGAAGGGATTTAGCCTCAGCCCGTGACTTGTAGTCCTGCAGATGACCATGCCCGACTTTTACATTACTGACTGTGAGGGATTCCTGGCATCTCAAACCATGTCAGAGTCTTAATCAACCATAGCTGGAATTGACAATCCCGGGTGTATCCCCACTCTAGATGACGTAGTAACTGGAAGAAGGAAATGTAAGTCAGTGTTGGTATCGGTATATCACCATGATCTCGACGCTCCAGTAGTTCGTATGAAGCCTTTTGGGAGGTCAAGTGGGCCTGAAGCTGCTATTATTGGGGGTACCCTGTTGTCGGTGCTGGACAACCTGACCGAGCAGAACAGGGTACGTAACGCAGTAACTAAATTCTGTAGGAAACTGAAGTTGTTCAGATGGACGTGGCTAACAGCCTTGAGTATGCCACCCACGTCGCCCTCCAGAAGACAACAGAGGATGAAGGTTTTGAGAGGTTCTGGGATGAATACATGAATTGCCTCTTCAGCATCGGATGGGAAAAGATCAGAGACGAGTAAGAGAACTTGTCATAAAGGCCGTGACTTCAACTCATCTACTTACCTGCAGGCAGGCAAATCTCTCTTCGGACGAGACAACCTCTGACATCGAGACGTTCTGTGATTTTGTCATCGATGATATTAGGAACTACCCACTCTACACCGAAGAGGAAAAGGATCTTGTCATTCCAGGGCTCGAGAGCGTCCGGAACCAAACAGACCACCGGGAATTCTTTCGCAGGTTCACGGTCCGTAAGAGCCGTGGGTTATTAGGGGTTAACACTGCATCGTACGTTCTCTAGAATAGTTGCGGATTATCCGATTGATCATGTTTTTTTTTTTTTTTTTTTTTTTTTTTTTCAAAGGGTCGAAGATGGCGTCCTCAAACTGCGCTATTCCGGGTTCATGTTCAGTTGCAATGCCGAAGTGGAAGATTATCTTAACACCAGCACTGCACATATCGAATTCGTTGCCAGAAAAGGTACATCCTCCATACCGTTGGATTGGAAACGCAATTCATGTAGTGTTTTGGTTAGAAATTGTCGAGGCTCGCGCGAACCAGGGAACCATTGATCGGCTCAGGGCACAGATCGAAGAGGAACTAGAACAAGCGTCTGGTGACTATATCAGCGGGATTAGTGTTTCCACAGAGGTGGCAACTGAGCAAACCGTTGAAACTGGTCTATGGCTCTTCGAACCGTGAGAAACCGTATGCTATTTTGGAAAGTAACTAGTTCCTACGAGTCACATGTTCCAGTCAGCCGTGCATAGTCCCACCGCGATGTATGAATGAGGGTCTACTGTAGTTTTGGAATTGAGCACACCTATTACTTAACACCATGTTGTTATTGTCTCGGGCCGGCCCTTGCAAAGCCGGAGAGGCCGGAGGCAATATTGCTAGTGAGTGTTATCTTCAGAATATTGCAACCGATATTCCACCGATATCGTGGTCTCCACCCTCGCACTATCTTCGCCTTACTTACACTATCTCACCGCCTAATAAAAATATGATAAGGCTAGGTGGAGTCTGCCCGGTTCACACCAATGTCCTCCCTCTGGTTTTGGTTCTCCCATGTTAAGCCTGTCACTACCAGCAATCCAGTTGCTACTGAAGAAGCTGCATCTCAGAGCAGCGCCAAGCAAGCAGATGGGGCTGCCGCTGATGCCACAGAAAGCCCAGGCGGACTCTCCCTCACAGAAGGTGCCGTCTGTCCCATCCATGCAGCGATGCGCTATGTACTCAACTCTAAATAGGCTCAGCTGGAGGCCTGGGTCGCCACCTTGGTGTCTTCTCCTGTACTCTCCTCATCGTAGGACGTATCATCGGTACAGGCATCTTCTCTACTCCCTCTTCCATTCTCTCCAGTACTGGCTCTGTCGGTGCATCCCTTCTCCTCTGGGTGCTCGGATTCATCCTATCCTTCTGCGGCCTATTTATATGGCTCGAATTCGGTACCATGTTCCCAAAAAGTGGTGGGGAAAAGGTGTACCTGGAAGCAGTCTATACCAGACCGAAATATTTGGTTACTGTTATCTTTGCAGCGAATGCAATCTTACTTGGGTTCACTGCAAGCGGTTGCATCGTATGTCTTCCTTTCCTTATCCAAATGCCATTACCTGACCACTTGTATCTATGTAGATATTTGCGAGCAAGTACGTCCATCCGAGATATGCACGCTCATCTTTCATGTCCTCCCTAGCATCCTCGTCGCAGCAGGCAAGACAGCCACGACGTGGTCAGAGCGTGGTATCGCTCTTGGAGGTGTGTATTCTTCATTTGCGTCTATCTCACCTATGTCTCTGACCATGTCTCCAAACCCTCCCAGTCATCTTCTTCGTTACCACCCTGCATGGCCTCACACCCCAGACAGGCGTGCGTGTCATGAATGTGTGTACTGTGGATCCCGACTCCAATCTTTACTCAGCAACCTCACATGACTCCGCACGCAGATCCTTACAGCCTTCAAAGTCGCCATCCTTGTCTTTATTGTTGTGTCAGGCTGGGTAGTCTTATCCGGCAAAACGGACGTTGAAGACCCACGTGCTAACTTCCGCAGTGCTGTTTGTGGGTAGTTCAACGAGCGGTAATAATGTGTGCCCTCTCGCTTCCTTTCCCTTCCGCGACTCATTCTCGCTGACTGAACCTTACGTTTCCTGCAATTTTCTTCCTGCCCTCTTCTCGAACTCTACGAACATGGTGTACCTATGTGGGTCCGATCGCCAAGTACAGTATGCAACAGCCATGTTCAAAGTCCTCAATGCTTATGCTGGCTGGTCCAATGTCAACTACGTCCTCAACAACGTCTGTGACCCCGTTCGAACACTCAAAATCGCCGGTCCGCTCGGTTTAGGCATTTGCACGGTGTTGTATATCTTTGCAAATCTGGCGTACTTCGCTGCGGCAACCAAGGTGCGTTACACCCATTTTCACGCGCTCTTCATCACGTCGCATTGTGACGTGAACTTGGGTGGCACTGTGTGTGTTGATAATGCAACCATCCCAGACCGAAATTGAAGACTCGGGCGTCACAGTAGCAGCGCTATTTTTTAAGAACGTGTTTGGGACGAAAGCCGAAAAGGCACTCTCGGTCTTCGTTGCATTGAGTGCACTGGGAAATGTGATTACTGTGGTGCGTACTCCATGTCGGTTGCTTATGTATTACCCTTCTCCCTCGCTAAACATGCATGCAGACCTTTGCAGCTGCACGCGTAAATCAAGGTACATTGCCTGCCCCACTCCCACTGCCCTTCCCCTCGTTTCACACCGCAGTCATGTTCTCAATGTCATTCCCAGAACTTGCTAAAGAAGGTATCCCTCTACCCCTTGGCAACAGATTCTGGGCGTCCAATTGGCCAACGGGGAAATCTCCCCTGCCAGGATTGATTGTACATTTGATTCCTTCGGTGCGTCCCCCCACATACAGGGCCAGAATTATGGCTAATGCAAGCGACATTCACAGGTCATTGTAATCCTCGCACCTCCAATGTCCGTAGCATACCCGTTTATATTAGACGTTGAAGGATACCCTATGCAGATTATCAATTTTTTCATTGTACTTGTATGTGTGCTTTCAGCTCCATCTCTTTTGTATATGGTGATATTTGGCCCACACCGACGTTGCAGGGCCTCTTCTATCTGCGCTGGAAAAAGCCAGATTTGGAAAGACCATTCAAAAGGTGCGCCTTTTCTGACATATGACCCCAAGTCAATGGCACACAAAATCAACAGTATGGTGGCCTCTTGCAGTGTTTTATCTCGCTGCAGCAGCATTTCGTATGTCTCTCCCATCGTTGGACCAAGATTGCATATGTGATTGTTGTGTGTCCTGACTTGTATAGTGATGATCGCCCCCTTCTTACCACCTACAAACGGCGTTGGAGATACCCCTCCTCTTCCATACTACTTGTGCGTCCTCTTTCCTTTGGCGATATATTCGAATCCCCTGCCTGTGCATGAAGCAAACGAAAAACCGAGGAACTGACGAAAGCAAAAAAAATGCCAGGTACTGCCTTGTCGGCATTGGAGTCCTCTTGTCTGGAGTGGTATACTGGGCAGGCTGGCGCGTCCTCTTGCCTCGCATGTTTGGATATGAACTTGTTCCGAGGAAGGAGGTCTTGGAGGATGGGACATTCGTCACTGTGGTACGCACCATGCTTCATTCCTTTCTGTTGCCTTTGTTGGTGCGGTGCGAGGTTGGGGAGCCTGATAGCTAATGAACACTTCTTGATAGTTCTCGAGGAAGGAGGTGGAATAAGGATCTTGTAGGTCTTCAACGTGGGATGGAATAGAAATGAATCACGGGCCTTGAATCAGTAGACTAGGTCGGTCTTGTAAAACCGTGCTTGTGTCCCTGTTCGATGTAGCAATAGTTTTTCACTCTCGCAGTGGGGGCAAATCCTTTTCACAGGACCTACTACAAAAACGGCGAACCACTTACACCTAGGTACCCCCACAGCTATCCTTCACCAAACAGACGCAGCTGAACAAAGGCCCAATAGTCATCAATTTCGCTATTGCTTTCAGGTGTCAGGGGCTTTCCAAGTGGTCCTCGATGACGGGCATAAATATTCGCCCACAATGACGCTGCGGTTATAAAGTCTGAGTTGTTCAAATACGTGCCTCTGCCCATGCAACTTCAAATCCCGGGGTCAATAACTTTGCCTGCGTTTGTTGGGCACGGCCGCAAAAGAGCCTTGAACATTCCAACTAGCAACGTAACGCGATCTTTCTTGTGACTTCAGTGGACTGGGGGACAAAGGCAGCTAATGGTGAACTACAAGAGTGCGGTGTCATGCTGCCCCAAGTAGACAGAAGAGTACTTCAGTATCCTGGGGGTTAGTAGTACTGTGGAAGGGAAAATCCGGTATATATATATATGGTCCCCCAGGCAAACCACGCTTCCAGATTTCGCAGGACTCGACCATGCTTGTACCTTGTACCTTGAGTGGACAATGTAATGCATGTAATGGCTTCATCGCCACGGAATGCACCCGGAGATAGCTTGTAGTCGACGGCTGATAACCCTCTGTGGAGGTCAGAAAAACGCGTTTCATCGCCTTAAACCAAGCAGGAGGGAGGTACCGAAAGTCAATGAACGTAATAAAACTTTGACCGCAAGGACATCAAAGCAGGTGGTATCGCTCAACGCTCACCAGATGCGAAGCACCCCCCGCATGAGCCAACAGTTCTCATCTCCTTCGTGCCGCCTGGATGTAGTCTCTTCGTGTTGCATTCTGATTTGAAGTGCGCATATGTATCTGATTGCGTATACAGCTAAGAAAATGCTTGCCTAGAACGGGCCAAAGACGAATACTCAGCTAGGCGGCGATAAATTTTCACATACACGTATATTATGTAGTTGACAACCGTCCATACACGGCCTTCATTGGAAGCATATGGGGCGACGATGAAAATGAAACCAGGATAGCAACAATTTTTGATTTCCTTCACTGGTGAGTGTGGGCACGAGTGTGTTTTCGAGAATAAATTGGGGTACCGGTACAGGTGAAATCCATCATATGCAGAGGATTCCAAAGGTCATTATGTAATTCAATGAAGGACAACTTTACCTGGCGTGTGCGAGTTATTCGAGAGCGAGTCAGGATTGCGGATCCTCGTAAACGATCCAAGGCTTTTCTCCTCGGCCAAGAACTTGCATTTGTTCTTGAATTTCCCCCTTAGTAAAGGAAAGGCCCAGTATTCGGTAGGTTTATTCAGCTACAGAAGTTTCGAATGAGAAATTATTTTATTCCCGACCTTCAGCGAAGAAATGCACCTTGACACATGAGCAGTCTTGCAATTATGGTTGGAAAGGGAGGATCAGAGATCGCGCGTTGTACTCTGAGCGCGGAGGACCGGAATCACAGAATGGGCGCGTGCGTTGTAAAGTTTCATGTACTTAAACTTGGTACTTATCCAGTGACAAGATTGCAAACGAACCCGATGCGCAGTCGTCGAACTCGTTTCGGACATGCTGCACTTTTCGAAGAGCCTTTGGATCCTACATAAAAAGGATAAAACAGGAGATCGAACTTAAAAGGGGCGACATACCCCTCCTAAATCTGAGTTGGATCGATTATCTGAAGTGAAGGTGGGGAACACGACGTCTGCCCCAACTTCATTAACGTACGGAACTTTCATCCTACATCCTTACCAGCATCCAAACCCATTTACTTTGAGCTCTCCTTGGTGCGCACACTGTCTGCCTTCTCGTTGTCATTGCCTTCGTCAACCAACTTCCTGACGATCTATAGTAGGAACAACTCATGATTGACCACCCTGAAGTCCCGAAACCACACATGCGCAGACGGTTGCTAGAATGTCGACGGGCCTTCCTCAAGTTGTCTCGGGAACTCGAACAAACATCTTCGCGTTTCAAACACAAATTGACCAATTATGTCGTGTCGAGGAAAGGCAAACCGAAAACGGACCCTGTATCCAAAAATGAACGTAGACGAGTATTAAGGAAAAAGGTCACAGAATTTCATGACTGTTTATGGGATAAAGTTTTGACGGAAGAGACCAATGAACAGAAATACAGAGACACTTTGGACGGCGTTGAGTGCGGCTGCTGTTTCTCGCCATACCCTTTCATCCGTGTTTGTGTTTTGTGTTGATATGGTTCCGCTATTGTCTCCCTCACACTTGGCTGTCCAGGACAACCTGATCCAATGCCCGGACGCTCATCTATTCTGCAAATCTTGCATGACGTCCTACTCGTCTATCCTTCTAGGCGAACACAATCCTAACATCGTTTGTATGGACCAATCCGGTTGTAAACTCCCCTTCTCAGAATCCGAACTCAAGCGTTTCTTATCCTCTAAGATGCTTGAGCTATTTGAACGCGTCAAGCAACGCAAAGAAATCGAGGCAGCAGGACTGGAGAATTTGGAAGAATGTCCATCTTGCGAGTACAAATGTATGATCGAAAACGAGGTGGAGAAGTTGTTTAGATGTGAGAACGTGGAGTGCGGTGCTGTGACGTGCAGAGGTTGTAAGAAGCCGGTATGTTTAGTTTTTGTTTTTACTGTCCTTGCTTCTCCTCCTTTCGTGTGCTCCTTATCGAGTGTTCGTGTACGTGTAGGAGCATCTTCCGAAGAGCTGCAAGGGTGTGTTGTTTATTGTGTGTCTTCATGGCATCCCAGTGACCTGACACATGATGTAGAAGTTGAAGACCAGCATCTCCATGTACAACATCACGTCGAGGAAGCCATGAGTAAGCGGACATCCCATCCTATCACCCCCACTTGTGTTTTCAGGGTGCTTACCACCGCCCTATAGCCCGAGCCCTCATGCGCAATTGTCCAAAATGCCAAAGAGGCAAGTTACTTTGCCTGCGTTCCGTGTATCCCAAATTAAAGAGGAACGCATTCCACCCAATGTAGCGTTTGTTAAGGAAGAGGGTGTAAATCTAGGCTGCTTTCTCCCTTCTCGCTGGTGCTGACCACATCTCTCCCTTGCGAACACATGGATGCAGTGCAACAAAATGACCTGTCCATATTGCTACACCGCGTCCTGTTATGAATGTCGTCGAATCATCGACGGGTATGGCCACTTTGATCGGGTGGATCCTTTTATTATCCGTCATTGTTCCATTCATTAACCCATCTCTCCCCGCTTCTTATTGGGTCAACAGCAGAACACGGACCAGATTAAGGTGGGGAGTAATTCAAAGTGTATGCTTTGGGACCCATCCATTGAGCAACGTCATACTGAGGAGGTGTGTATGCCCACGACAACCACATCTCCGTCACTGCGAAGTGAGCTAACTTTTTTCTGATACCGCCTAGGTCAGCGCAGCAGCCAAAAGAGCCATGCAAGAGGTCAAGAAGCATAACCCAGACGTGGACGCCAGTGCTATCAATGTGGATTTGGCAACTGCGGGTCCTGGTCCGTCTTCGCGTCCTGTGAATTAACAGGTTTGGCCGAATCCATCGTTTACATGCATAATCATAACCACAACCATGATCATGATGTATAGGGAGGATGGCAGAGGCAAAAGCGACACACGATGCACATTTGCAGGTAAGCCGTCTTGGTGAAGGTAATTGGATAGACGGATATGGGCATACCGAGTATATGGATCCTGCATGCATTGGGGAGACATTCATAGTTGTACTTGAAAGGGAAGTTGATATGAATGACGGAGGTACCTATAAAAGTTTCTCTTAGGATTCAATACGGCGTTCGACCATTCTCCTCTACCTGGCGCCGAGGTCGTTAAGGGCCTTCTGACGTGCGCTCTTAGCCTGACCACGTTGAGCAGCCTCTTCAGTCTGTTCAACTCGTCTGTTACGTATGATATCGAGGAGCTGCCAGATCATCTGTTGGCCACGCGGTATGTAGAAATCGAGTTTGGTTGGGGCGACGGCGTCGACCAATCATGATCGAAATACTCCATCGGATGTCCCAAAAGGGAAATCCATCCTCCAGCGAGATTGCACAATATTGAGTACTTGAGTCTTGACACCGAGCGCGAGCAATGTGCGATGGAAGTCACCGACCTCTCAAATCCATCACCGCAAACTGAAACTGCTACTCGAAAATGCAAACACTCGGTGGGCCGACGTTACACTCAAGAAGCAACAACTCGGCATGTTGACTCAGAGGACATCATCGAACTGTCGGATTCGGAGCTATTAATGGACGACGAGGATGCCGTCCAAGTTGTCAGGGCCAGTTTGAAAACCACTGTACGAAGGAGTACTAAGACACAAAAGGAAGATGCTGCCTCGAGACATTCTACTCCAGACCCATCCTCTTCAACCAACACATTGCCATCTGACGCACAGACGCCACGAGTGGCGGATGCCGTACAGGCGGAAAGATCGTCGCAACCGAGGCAAGACAAAGGTCAAAGGCTTGTAGGTAACGGTCCATTACTCTACCCTGGCTCCGACGACGACAGGACAGAGCAAACACGCTCGCCTGGCCCCCCATCTCCACCTGCAGCATCTCAAAGACCAGGCACAGTCCCACCTGCTCTCCCTCACCCACCCAAACCACCTCCGCCCATAGATCCCATGGACGATTATGTCGCGCGCGTTACTGAAATTGTTCCAGACGTGCAACCCGCACACGTCCTTAATCTAGTCGAACGAACCATGCAAACGAACCCGGACGCAGTCGTCGAACTCGTTTTACACGCCCTTTTCGAAGAACCCTTCTACCCCAAAATAGACAGAAAAGGAAAGCGAAAGCGGGATGAAGTGGAGGAAGAGGAGGGTCAGGAAGGCCGACGTTACTATCGCGGCACTCCTAAACCACGGGTCGACTACCTGAGTGAAGATAGAGAATACGACGGTGGTCCATTTTACTTCGAGCTCTCCCTGGTGCGTACCCCATCTGCCTCTCCGCTGTCGCTCTGGCTTCGTCGAGCGTCCTTCCAACGATGTGCTTTAGGAACAGCTCATGGTCGACTATCCCAGGATCCCGAAACCACACATCCGGAAACAGTTGCTAGAATATCGATTCTACGCACGCGCCTTCTTCAAGCTATCGCGAGACCTTGAACAGAAGCCTCCGCCTTTCAGACTTAAATTGATCAATTCTGTCGTGTCGAGGAAAGGCAAATTGAAAGAGGACCCTGTGTTCGAAAATGAACGTGAATGGGTAAGGAAGAAAGTTGCACAAGTAGCTGTTTCGCGGGACGAAGCCCTGGCAGAAGAGATCAATGAACAGGAATACCAGGAAACTGAGGATGGCATTGAATGCGGTTGCTGTTTCTCGTTGTACCCTTTCGTATGTGCTTTTGTTTGGTGGTGACACGGTTCTGCTATTGTCGCCCTCACGCTTCGTTATCCAGGACAACATGATCCAATGCCCGGACGCTCATCTATTCTGCAAATCTTGCATGACGTCTTATTCATCCACCCTTCTGGGTGAACACAATCCTAACATCGTTTGTATGGACCAATCTGGATGCAAACTCCCCATCCCTGAATCCGAACTCAAACGTTTCTTATCCTCGAAGATGCTTGAGCTATTTGAACGCGTCAAACAACGCAAGGAAATCGAGGCGGCGGGACTGGAGAATTTAGAAGAATGTCCGTTTTGCGAGTACAAATGCGTGATCGACAATGAGATGGAAAAGTTGTTTAGATGTGAGAACGCGGAGTGTGGTGCTGTGACGTGTAGAGCGTGTAAGAAGCCGGTATGTTCAGTTTTGCGTTTATTGTCCTTACTTCTCTTCCTTTCGTGCGTGACTTATCGAGCATCTGCGTATACACAGGACCATCTACCGAAGAGCTGCAAAGGTGTGTTCTGTTTGTGCCTTCACGGTATCTCGGTTATCTCAACACATGATGCAGAGGTAGAAGAAGACAACCACCTAGATGTACAGCATCTCGTCGAGGAAGCCATGAGTAAGTCTGCATTCCTCTGCTTGCGTTGTTCAGGCCCTTATACTGCTGCCTAATAGCCCGTGCTCTCATGCGTAACTGTCCAAAATGTCAAAAAGGCAAGTTACTACATTTCACGTTCCGTTGACGAGGATCAAATTTCACCTCACATAGCATTTATCAAGGAACTAGGTGTAAGTCTGGGCTTCCGTGCTTCCTCACTCGACCTAACCTGGTTTGACCACACTTCTCCCCCGTGAACGTGACGCAGTGCAATAAAATGACCTGTCCGAATTGCCACACCCAATCCTGTTATATTTGCCGTCAAATCGTCAATGGGTATGAGCACTTCAATCGGGTGGGTCCTTTCGTCGTCATCATTGCCCCATCGATTTCGTTAGCTCACATCTCCCCGTTTCATATTGGTTGGCGGCGTGCAGCCAGGCCAAGGGGGGAATAAATCAAAGTGTATACTTTGGGATCCGTCGGTTGAGCAGCGTCATGCTGAGGAGGTGCGTACACCCCCTCTTCTCTCATTGCAGCGTGAGCTATCTTTTTCTGATACCACATAGGTCAACGCAGCTGCCAAACAAGCCATGGAAGAGCTCAAGAAGAACAACCCAGACGTGGACGCCAGTGCTATTAAAGTGGATTTGGCAACCGCCGGTCCGGGTCCATCTTCGCGTCTTCCGAACCAGCCAGTTCACCCAAACCCATACATACACATACACAACCATAACCATAACCATAACCACGTTCACGTTCATGGTCAGAACCGCCATGTCCATCACTTTGGTGGACCAGTTCCTGCACCACAGGCACCCCATCCGATGCCGTATAGACTCCTACCGCACTTTGCCCCCCCTATCCCGCTGGCAGCCCCAATCCCACCGATAGGAGTGGGACAGGCAGCCGGCTATGGTCAGCCGGCAGCTCTGGCACCAGCTTTAGGACCGCTCCCAGTCCTGCAGATGGAACCGAATCAGATAGCACCAAACCAAGGGTACTATGTGCCACCTGACCCGCCATATCCAGGTGTGCCACAGCAACTATTCCAGATGGGAAATGTGCAAGGTCAGGTAGGGATGCCCGCGTTAGCACAGCCTGTGCGCGGAATTGCACATGTAGGTGGACGTGGACAGAGACGTAGGAAGGGGAATAGGCGAGCCAGAGCCAGAGCCAGAGGAGCGGCAGGGGGTGTGCAAGTTGCTGTGAGACATCAACAGTAAATTTCGGTGGTTTGGAACGTACGTCTTGGTGATGTGTGTAGCTTACAACTTTGCCTAAGTTATAACCTGACGGGGACGACGAGTTAGAAAACCGAGTGGAGGCAAGGCAAAGGCATAGAGACGCGTGCATATTCATTATGCGTATACATATTGCGATTGAATTGTAAAAGCCTACGAGATTTAACAGTCACAGTATGGCAATTATGAGCCCCAGACCCCCTGAATAGCACACCGGTGCTCAGCCAACCACCCTGACTCAACCGCCATCTAAGCAATCAACGTCGAGGCGGTCGCAGCATCATACTTGAAATTTGGTTGAATGACCTGCTTTGTCTTATAGTACCTCGCCAGACGGTGGATTCTGCTCTCGATGAGGATGAGACGGAATTTGGAATCCTTGTCTTTTCGGTTGACCTCGAGATGTTTGCGTACTGCGACAGCTTTTTTGACGAGATGGTAGAGATCCTCGGGAATGGCGGGTGCGAGGCCTGTTCGTACCTCGGGTAAGATGCCGGAGAAGAGGGAAAGAAATACGGGTGAATAGAACAACATACCACGCGTCTTGAGAATCCGTAGGATCTTGTTCCCAGTGACGAACCGCACCTGGGGGATCCCATGCGAGTCACGAAGGGTCACACCAATCTGGGAGGGTGTAAGACCCTTGCGAGCGAGTTTAATGATGTGCTCGATGACGTCTTCGGAGGTTGTTTTGAGCCATGATGGTGGTGTGCGGCGGTATGGAAGGGCAGATGAGGCTTGGATGGGATGAGGTCAGTCCCGTGTAACAGAAACGATCCGGGGAAGGACGCACAGATGCCCTTTCCGGGAGCGTGCATGCGACCCATGTTTGCTCTGTCCTGGACTCAGAGAATGGAACTGTGGTATGATGGCAAGCTCGCTTACGAATTTTACTTGCGACGTCGAAAAAGAAAGCTTTGGCGTGTCTTGAGGGACGTCTGCTGCGACGTTGACGAGATTCCTTGCGATGGGATGCGCGTGACAGCGTGACATCGGTGGCTTGGAGTGACATGTGACATCTGTATAGTTTGTGAACCTTATTTTCTCATCGACGACTGGCTGAGACGCAAACAACATCCAACCAGCCACCCGTCCAGCAAGCCCATCGGTGACAGGGTTCTTCTCAAGCCGCAAGGTAAGTGTATAACGAGTAACGAGAAGATGTTGTGCTGACTGCAGAACGCCCGATCCAGTATGAAGCTCAACATTGCCAGTATGTTTAGCCCGCGTTGGCGTGGAGGTGGACTATTCACTGATCATGTTCACAGACCCCGCGACGGGGCAACAAAAGACAGTCGACATTGATGAGGAAAGAAGATAGTGCGTGTCGTTCGTTTCCGATATCAGTGCCCCTCCCGTAATTTGAGACTCCCCACAGCCGCATCTTCTACGACAAGAAAATCGCTCAGGAAGTCGAGGCTGACCCCCTTGGCGACGAATGGAAAGGTTACATCCTCCGCATAACTGGCGGAAACGACAAACAAGGATTTCCTATGAAGCAAGGTGTCCTCCTTCCCCACCGTGTCCGTCTCCTTCTTGCCGACGGTCACTCGTGCTACCGCCCTCGCCGTGACGGTGAGCGCAGGCGCAAATCTGTACGGGGGTGCATCGTTGGCCCAGATATTCGCCGTCCTCTCTCTCACCATCGTCAAACAAGGCGACAACGAGTTGCCGGGACTCACGGATGATGTGTTGCCCAAGCGTCTGGGTCCTAAGCGTGCAACGAAGATACGGCGCTTCTTCAATCTGAGCAAGGAGGACGACGTAAGGAAGTATGTCATCCGCCGGGAAGTGAAGAGTAAGAAGAAGGAGAACGCCAAGCCATACACCAAGGCGTAGGTCCCCTTGCACGGGAACGTAACGACCACATCCCGCTCACCCTGGTTGTACCTTTCAGACCTAAAATTCAACGACTCGTCACCCCTATCCGTTTGCAACGCCGCCGTCACCTCCGCGCTCTCAACCGCCGCCGTATCGACCGCATAAAAGAACAGAAGGCAGAATACGACACGTTGGTGCAAAAGCGCGTCGCTGAGAAGAAGGCAAAGGTTGCTGCTGCCAAAGCATCACACAAGTGAGTTTGGTTCCTTTTTTACTTTGCAACGTGGTTGTCACCGATCTGACAATATGAACATCGATGACGATCGCTGACAACACACCTTGGGAAACCAGGACTGCAACTGCTTAAATGCATAATTCCTCCGAGGCCTGGCTGCATCCCAACCTACGCTTGCATTCTTCCTTAGGCTATGACCATCCCCTCTCCTTATGTTGCTTCCCACATCAATGTTATTAGGCTTAGGGTTCATATGCCACCAATGCTACGTCTTCTCACATGCGGCATGTTCGGAGAGACTCATCTGTACGTGTTAGGTAAGAAATCATGTTGTTTGAAGTATGTACACATTTTCGTTTTGTGCTCGGGAGGGGACAGGCATGATAGCCGTTGTAACCTTAGCGTTAGAAGGAACCCGGCCTCGGAAAATAGAAGCGTATTCACATCCGTGCGGTACGCCAGTCCTTTGCTGAACTTGTGATACGCTGGATCAGTAGGAGAGCATATGGGAACAACAGAAGCTGTCAGCTCAAGTCTCTAAACAACCACCGAGGATGTGCATGCCTTAGTGGAGTAGCGGTTGAACATCCTGCTGTCGTCAGTGCCTCTATTACTGGAAATACAGGAACTGCCTATTAGTCGTGTCATACGATATTGGGACGAACGTAGCGATAGAAATATAGCAAGCAGCATCTTCTCGAACTTGCCGAGATCTGCACAAATGCTACCAGTAAGTTGCAACTAATCCCACCACTTAAATGACATCAATTCCATGGACGACTAGACTGTCAACATCTTCCCAGTTCACGTAGTCCTGGGATTTAGATGGAGCTGCCACCGTCATTCATCAGTAAAGCTAAGCGTTCAACAACCTGGGTTTTCAAGCGCTTAATGTTCGCCAGTGTTTGCCGAGCATTCAAAAACTGTCTAATATGCATGCTGTAATTTGGCTGAATTTACTGATGTTAGGGCGATAGACGTCTGGATCCAGTGCCCACATCCACACCACTCGCGCAGCCGCCATCGGTAAGATTCCCTTGTTTAATGCTCACACTGGATGCGGGCAATAACCCGCCGACGCTGTACATCACTTTCCTACCTCTAATGCCCCCCGATCATCACTGTCGTACTTTTACCCAAAGACGGGCAGGAGCGCGGTCGAATAAACGCTGACATCGTTGGGTTTGTTTTGCGCAACTCTACTAACACGATCGGCTCCGCATCATACGAATCTCTCAGTGTGGTATGTACGTCGACTCATTAAAGAATGCCCCATTTGTCTCATGTGGTGTTCCAAAGGTTGACAAGTACCATTACACACAGTTTAAGTGGTTCGGATGCGAAATGACACTACCACATCGTTGCTTGATCAGGGTCAGAGAGGCCGACCAAAGGTACAGAGGGTCGTAGATGGTGTGTGTGTGTGTGTGAGTAAGTGAGAGAGGACGCATGCAAAATACCTCCCACATTTAGAAACGAGTCGTGACACTCAAAGCCGTGGTGCCAGTCTTGACGTCAGATTAAGACTGACCACGACACAGACAATATCGTCGAAACTCCACCAGTAGGATTGATAGGAGGACAGTGCAAGGTGACGAAACTCGTATCAATACATCTTCCTAAGTGCCTATCCGGTTTCTGAACTTCAGAGCAGAGTCCACTCGGTGAAAGAACGCCACACTTGGAGTAACCGTTCGACTTCAGCATTGCGGCGCAGTCTACTCGAACGGCGAAAGCCATTACATACATGACTACTGGCAAAACATAGAAAGTTGCTTCACACTGGACCGTGCTCAATATATTACATACATGCACGAGTAACCCTGCAATACATTTTACAATGCGAAGATAGTTGCCTGCTTAGATATCCCGGTTGCCATAAGTTTGTCCTTGATTCGATTGCGAATTTTTCCGTAGAGCCCATCATTCAAACTATAGATGTGGCTCACTGGATTAATTAAGTCAACTGTCGGGCCACGTGTTAAGCAAGCTACTTACATACTGTTGTCTTGGTTTCCACCTTGCCATCAGAGTAGAGAAGGGGGCTACATCGTGCCCCATTGACATCAAATTCGAGGAAGAAAGAAGTCACTGAAACGGCGTCGTTCTTCTCCCTGATGGTCGTCCGCGTCAGTTGGGACTCACTATGGGGTGGCAGACAGCAGAGAGCAAGAGCTCACGAGCAAATGGCCAGTTGAAATTTGCCACGGTAGCTTCCTCCTCCAGTAAAAAGCAGACGAGGGATGGCGGCTTCATTAACTTGATTGAGGGCGCCCTCCGTGAATAGCTTCAGTGCACCTTCGTTTTCCGGCTCTTGCTCAAGGACCTTCAGGGCGCGGGAGAGCAGTTCGCGCTCCGAGTCTGATACTCGCAAGGATTCGAGCACTGGTCCCTTGACTTCTTCTTCAAGTCTGTCATAAGGTAAATGTATAAGCCGACTGTGGCAATGTTAGGCAACGTAATCGAACCCAGCCTGTTGGCCAAACCAGTGTATATTCAAAAGGGTGGTCAAGAAACTGTTGCACCATTTGGCATAGTCGCCGTCCTTGACTGCCTGTTTGTCTGCTGCTCTCGCAGCGAGCTCAAAGCTGTTTCGTACGTCCTCCTGGGAAAGGATTGGATGGAACGGCTAGGCCATGTAGTACGACGTACCTGGTGTTGCGCGCTAACGCCGGGTAAGAAAAGTATGACAATGGAGACGCAGACAGCGGCACTGGCCATGTGGTTCGTACACGAGGAGAGAGTTCAGCAGCTGTGGTTCGAGTACACACGGTGATAGGAAGGGTTATAATCCATGCCCCTTGCGGCAGATGCCGCGACCGACGTTCAACTCGCATGAGACATGTGCATTATGCCTGATCAGTGTGGAAACCCGCTGTGCCGTGTCAGTGAGCAATCTTCCCATCTATGTTGGCCACCACAGCACCGGTAAACACGACGTCCCGAATCGGGGGCTGTGCAATACGGTTGAAGAAGCCGAAGGCACCGGTCTTCGAAACTTCCATTCATCGTGTCAACATCATCTGGACCTGCGGAGTCCCCAACATTTTCCATGAATAGGCTGGCCAATGAGAATTGTCGATTCATCACGAGCTGCTCCGCCGATTCACTTCTGATCTATAGAAGACAGGGGAAGCTGAAACGATCATCATGTCAATGTCGTCTGGACATGTATGTAAGTGGAATCCCAGCCCTGCCGGCTTTGACAATTTTCTCCAATAAGTAGGTTGGCATCGAGGATCACCAGATGCTCCGCCAATTCATTGGAGATAGGGGAAACCAAAATGATCATCTTCAAACCTTTTATTCGGCATGTCAAGGTCATCCGAGCATGTATGTAAGTTGAGGCCCAGCCCCGCTGCATCCTGAAAAATTCATCCAATAGGTTGGCGTTGAGGATGCCAGTTGTCCCTGGAAGACACAGGACTTGCAACTTCCATTGGACGTGTCAAGATGCAGGATGCATCTGAGCGTGCATGTAGATGGAGTCCGGCTCTGACGATTTTCCGAACCGAATCATCTTTCCGGGTATCCCTACCCCCGCATGGGTCACGGCTGGTGGCCATCAACCGCACGAGTCCCACTCAGGTGATAATCATACCCTGGCAAATCCTAAGTGCCCTCGTGATCCCACCGGTTTGGACCATGGGTATAAAGTCAGGTCGTCGACCAGTTCTGATCCCACAACCCATATCTGGTTTAAACTCTTTCTCTCAAGTCAACTATGTGCGACGATATTGCTTCACTTGTGGCATACGTCGAATCGGCGACTCTGGCGCCCATTGAACCAGGTCTTCATACGAGGGCCGCGTTCCTCGCAGCGGCCGGCTTACAGACGGGCCCCGCGGCCCTCTCAGAGGAGAAAGGTGCGTCGGAAGCGCCATTTGTCACCTACAATCTCGGTGACGGTTCGCGTACTAGACCGTGGAAAGTATTTGGGTGAACCCGGTAAGGACGGCGCTGCCACCATCGGTGGCACCCTTGTCTCGGTCCTCGCCAACCTCAGCGGACAAAACCGCGTTAGTGGACCCTTTACTCCAATGTACAGACACCTCATTTCCATCATTTTAGACGGACGTTGCTAATTCCCTCGAATTTGCTTCTCGTGTTGCCGCCAAGGAAGCAGGGCCTGATGACCATACCTCAAAGTACTGGGAAGAGTTCAAAAAGTCCATTCTTCAAATCGGGTGGCTCAAGCAGAAGGATGAGCAAGTGCTGTTGTTATTTTACTAGTCATTATGATCTAATGCCGTCCTAGGTGGTCCAAAGATTTCGTCGACGGTCAAACTTCTGGTGCCGAGAACTTCAGCGACTATGTGATCGCAAATGTCAGAAGTGACCCGCTCTATTCTGAGGCAGAAAAATCGGTCATTATCCAAGCTATGGAGTCGCTTCGAAGCCAGGCGGAAAAGCGTGCTTTCTTCAGGAAGTTCACGGCTGGTGGTAGCAAGGGGTCCTATGGTGTTAACGCGGCAACGTATGTGCTTCCCACTTGATTTTCTTTGCTTCCGAATCGAATGTTCATAATTCTCTGAAAGGGTTAACAACGGAGCGCTGGCATTGCGTTTTTCTTGCTTTACATTCAACTGCAACGCCGCGGTGGATGATTATCTGATCTTCAGCATCAAAAATATCAAAGCTGATGTGCAAAAGGGTATGTCAACATACTTGCAATATTCCCTGACTCATGCACCATGTCGCAGACAACTTGGACGTTGCTGGGAACCAGAGAACCATCGACAACCTCAGATCGAAGATCGAGGCGAAATTAGACCAGGCGGCCGGTGATTACATCGATGGCATTGATATTTGAATAGTCACCCTGGCAATTTTTTTTTTTCGGAATAAATGTACTTGTACGAGTGTTCTGATGTGAAATGGCTGTTACTCTGATATAGTTCATCGCTACCCAAATAGTGACGCCAGTTTGTTATTCCTGTGGGAGCAGGAGGTTTTGTCGAACACAAGAATCTGTCCTGCCGCCCTCAGGACTAACCCCTCTTTCTCCCTGTCACTTCCTACCAAGCCTTCCGAGTCCACGCCCTCGTATCTGTGCCCCTACCCCTAATTACTCAAGTCCGCTTATGTGTTAGGGGAGATATGGCGGATGGAAAGACCACAGACCAAGTATAAGTTAACTTGCCCAGACATAATTGTGGGATACTTGTTGCGTGACGGGCGTCCTGGCATACAAGAAGCGCTTTCAACTGACCCCTCCGATAAAGAGCAAACGGGAAGTCTTCATTGACTCCATCAAGAGCATGCTAGTTGAACAGCTTTAGTGCCTTCTCGTTTTCTGCTTTCTGCTGGAGGGCGTTCAAAGCACGGATGACACCCAAAGGGTCAAAAACGGTTCTCCAAGCCCATCAACGTGGGGAACACGCACAAACTGACTATGGAAAGTGTTTGGCAGCGTGGACGAACCCATCCTGTTGGCCGTATAATTGTGAAAGCGTCGAACCATCTGGTACTATTGTCGTCGCTTCTGGCAGTGAATTCGAAGCTGTTTCATACATTCTCTTGTACGAAGATTGAGTAGGAACGAGACTAGGCGTCGTGGGAACGGTCTTATGTAGGTCGAGCGCTGAGCGGACAGAGATAATGTTATAAAGTCGAGGCCATGAGGCACTGCACGAACCCCATGACCATGATGACCCCGTGATGACATAAACAGCGATGCACACTGCGCAAAGAGGCACCGCGGGTCACCCTGGCGTGGATAAAAGGCTCTCCATGAACAACGCCCACTCAGTGCCCCTTCTCTTCTCTCAGCCCGCCAGTTTTGTGCCCAATCGGTGGTGTTTCTGACTCCGACGACCATGAACATTATCCTCAACTCTGCAAGCGGTGGTGCGTCGATTCTGACATTCATCGTCGCTTCTTCTAACTGAGCTATGGTCCAAAGCATCCGCAACTGTTGTCCCATCCACAATCATCGTCTTTCTTCCGGACGTGACTGAACAACACCAGGTAAGTGTTAAAGCGACAGTGCCTAAAAACGTGCCCCTACCTTGAGGACGTCGACCGAATAATTCGTACCCAGGAGGATGTCCGAAATAGTTTTGAGTTTGCTGCGAGGGCCGCAACTAAGCAAGCCTCGGGAATCGACTACGCCAGGTGGCACAGATTTTTTGGCGTCGTCCTTCATAATATCCACTGGTTCACTGTGCAGGTTGAGTTAGTCTCTCTGAAGTTCGTTCATCGTCTCTCGTTTCTAGTTCACCTTTATTTCAGGTCCGAACGAGCGATTCGGAGACCTGTACTCGACGTTATCCACGTATCCGACTCAGAACGCCACCTTGCCAGTGAAGCGTTGAGGGCTCTCCAGAATCCAGAAAACGAGGAAGCTTTACTGCTGTTCTGTGACCAGCACCCAGATAGTAAAGCCGCAAAGGAAGACGTTCGCCGGTTGTTTTTCGGTGGAGGTGGAGAATATATTAGAAGTGCCAAGTTCCAGCTTACCTTCTGCTCGTGGGTTCATTCCTTGTCTATGACTATAATAATCCTACAGTCGTCATCCTTCCACAGGGAAGCGAACGGAGACGTGATTGCATCGTCTTTCTTTATTCAACTCCGCAGCAGCAGAGCAGAGGAAGTCACTATCGGTATGTAATTCTTACTTCATCTGGGTAGTACACGGGGAGGTTTATTTTCCGAGTCTCATTGCACTGACATGATAGATTTCCACCAACACGGTTTGAATACTCGCCTATTTGAGAGGGTCCGTTTTCCCTTGAAGAAGAAACTTGAGGATTCTGGAGAATCCAAGCAGATACTTGTCGAGTACTAGTACTCGGACTAGGGGGTGCAAAGATGGAATGCAATGGACCGAGCGTATGACTCCTTTTCTTACGGTGTACATAACTGATTCAGACGGCCCTTCCTATACAAACTTCTTGTAACTTCTCATTGCTTGATATGAGTAGTCAGTGCCATATCCCCATCTGAATTGCGCCCTTCTCTTCAAACTGGAAGTCATCATCGAGTTCCTTGTACATGCATCATTGTGTCAGTGTAACAGGTGAGATGCGTTGGTTTGTTACCCAAAATGCAAGCATGACCAAGTCCTGCGAAGTCTGGAAGTGAGATTTGCCTGGGAAGCCACATATATATACTGGATTTTTTTTCCCTTTCACTGATAACAGTACTAAACCAGGAGTACTCTTTTGCCGACTTAGAGCAAGCGGACCTACGATGGAGCAGAACCTCACTACTGGTGATGAGCATCCGGCAAGAAAGGGCACGCGGAGAACGAGCGTAACTAGAAGAATTAAGGATATGATGAATCGGTCTGTGAGGCCATCACTCCTCGCACCTCTTCAACCTCGACGAGGTCAATGACCCTCGGCCGCTTGGCATCCGACCTGCCTGCTTATTGATGCGGTGACCGCCGAGTGTGAAGAAAGAGGATAGGACGTGACCGGGAAACTCAGGGTTTTCCTGACAATTATGGATAGGGATAGATGACTCGCTACTACTTATTTCCTCGTTGCCTTGGGTCTTTCGGGGCAGGGCAGCCCAAGGCATGGCTTCATTCAAGAGATATCTTCGTTTGTACGTTTACTGCTCGTGCCACGTTGCGAGCGATCTACATCAGCCTGCTCGCATGCCTTTTTTCTGGCAAGAAAATTCAGATCGACAGGGCAGCGGCCTATCACAACTCAATGACATTCACCGAAGGCACTGCCATAACACATGCTGTATGAACCCTGTCACATGATGCCCTCAGATCTCGTATGTGTGTACATGCCTTCATGAGACCTTGAACAGAGAAATGCCACATATCGTCACACTTTTTGCGTCTAGATTTAACTTTCAAGCTCCCCCCAAAGTCGTATCATCGCAGAGTAAGTGAATGTGTCCACTCACCATGTCGCAAATTTATTTGGTCCATTGTCACGTGCCCCCATTGTAAGCAGCATGTAATGGACCACTTGCCATTATAATGGTCAGGTTTGGCTAGATTATAGCAAATATGTGATATTTTATCTAAGATATAATGCAAATGTGTAAAATATTATGTAAAAATACCCATTTTTGGCAATCTTTCAATGACACATGGGTGGCATTGGCATGGCTTATAACGGAAGTGTGAACAGCCACCCTTAACATGTATTATAAGGTTCTTATCACGTGCCCAAGAAATTTGCGACACAATTACTGGCACAACGTATAACTCGCATCTGGGAAACAGCTACGCGACGCGGCTGTTAACAGCTCTTCCGCACTTGAGCGAGCTCTCTCATTGGCCAACAAGTGTCTTAGCGAGTCTTACGACAAGTCATTTCCAAACGGAGGCAGGTATAACCTGCTCACTCCCTCGGGTAGTTTTGCAGATGCGGCTACCGGATGCCTAGGCTCGCGCCACTCATAGCCGAACTTCAAAGCTTCACGGTCATACCCTCAACCAACAGAGATCAGAAAAATTGTCATATCACATCAGCACACTTCACACTTTCACAGATACAATTGAGACACTAGTACAGATGGCCAAAGAGCAATCATTCAGATATCCACACCGTCGATATAATCTCCAGCCGCCTGGTCCAATTTGTCTTCGATTTGCTGCCTGACCGCGTCGATGGTTCTCTGATTCGCGGCGGCGTCCACGTTGTCTGTGACGTAATGAATGAGTTTAGAGATATGGCAAGTATGTTTACATACCCTTCCGCACATCAGCTTTGATGTTCTTGATGCTGAAGATCAGATAATCATCCACCTGGGCATTGCAATTGAATGTAAATGCAGAAAAGCGCATTGCCAGTGCTCCATTTGTAACCCTGGCAGAGAATTAGTGAACCCTCGAAAAAAAAGCAACGGAGGGGTACATACGACGCCGCGTTAACACCGAAGGACCCCTTGCTACCGCCGGCGGTGAAGCTCCTGAAGAAGGCACGCTTTTCCGCCTGGCTTCGAAGCGACTCCATGGCTCGGATAACAACTGATTTTTCTGCCTCAGAATAGAGTGGGTCGTTTCTGACATTTTCGATCACGTAGTCACTGAAGTTTTCAGCACCAGTTGTTGTGCCATCGATGAAATCCGAGGACCATCTGAAATGGTATTAGGTCGTAACAGCCTGCAGAGAAAACAATAGCACATACTGGTCCTGCTGCTTGAACCATCCGATTTGGAAAATAGACGTCTTGAATGCATTCCAGTATGCCTCGGTATGGTCATCGGCCCCCACTTCCTTGGCGGCAACGCGAGAGGCGAACTCGAGTGAATTGGCAACGTCCGTCTAAATGATGGTAAGTGCCAATGAGGCGTCAACACTTGACATCATCTTGAACAAGGTGCACTGACGCGGTTTAGCCCGGTGAGGTTGGCAAGGACGGAGACCAAGGTGCCACCGACGGCAGCAGCGCCATCCTGACCGGGCTCACCCAAAAACTTTCCACGGTCTAGTATGCAGATCGTCATTGATTTCGTAGGACGATATATGAGGCTGCCGACACACCTCCAACTTCCTCAAGGACTTTAGCCCTTGAGTAGAGGCCGACCTGGAGTGGCGCTAGGGTCGCCGATTTGATGTACGCCGCAGCTTGAGTAATATCGTTGGACATGTTGACTTGAAAGAACTTTGAGAGGGGTTTACAGTAGACGTGTGAGTTACAGCGGTCCTAGAATCAGAACGCGTCTACAAACCTCTTTTTATACTTATGAGCTTTACAGTCTTGATCTATATCTGGTGAAATCGTAATGCTTGCGATGCATCAGCACCAACACGGGATTGTTAACCTGCGCGGCTGGCCTCCTGACCACGGACACAACGTTATGTTTTCCCTGTCAGAGAAGCCGAGAAGATGGAAAGCGGCAGCCGGTAGGTTCTCCACTTACATGTTCACATGATATTGACGTGTTCAATGGAAGCAAGAGGGATGCTTCGAAGATGCACTCTCCTCCGCGTTCCAGGCATCTGGCTCGGTAGGTTCAGGCACGGCGCGCCCCAGCTTCATCCTTTCGGGGGTAATGAACGGGCAACTTGATCTAGGAGATCTGTTGCTGTAAGACCGAAATAGTGCTCCACCCAATGGCTGAAGACAAGCATCGCATGTAACTTTCAAGTTTCTGAGGCTAGGACACACGTCTGACTGGCCCACATTGCCCCACATTTTGCAAGAGGTCCCGTCACCGTAATGGAATTATTCCATTATCACCACCCAACTATGAGTTGTCGTTTTATCAGCTTGAGTGTCACCATTCAAGCGACAAGAGGGGGTTATATCCTTAATTGGAAGCCACCAATGCCATCTGGTATGAATGGACGCACTTTCTCCCTGGCCACTACTGCCCAAGAGTGTCCTTACCTTGTAAATATTCCGTTAGATCATATCTTCCAGAGTTCAATGTATCAGCATAAGGTTTACACAGAAAGGCAAGGTCGATACGCCGCGTTCTGCGCACGTTACTTGCTGCATCGTTTCACGGTCCAGACTGCCTTTGGAGAAGTACGCGAAAGTCGGAATCACGATTTTTGCCTTCCTGACATTCACGTCTTGGGCGTTGTTTGCTCCTGGATTCTCCAATGCCCGAGCACCGCCGGAGATGTTGAGTTGAAACTAGTGCCAATATTCAGAACCCATCCGCTTAGGGTGTATGAAAGAACCGAGATCGTAGTCCATTCATGCCTAGATCATGGAGATCGAGCAATGGGCGTGCTGCTGCCGTCACATTGCCGGTCACGTTGTATCCTAAACGGGGCATCCTGGAGGAAGCTCCATGAAAAAAGAAAGGTCAGCTAAATGCCATCAACCTTCCATGCACCTCAGGACTGTTCGACTCGCACGTCCAATGCGAGCATCAGCTTCTCAAAGTCGAATTTCAAGGTTCTGCTCACTCAGGCAGGCCGTGATTGGATGGATAATTGACATTGTAGTCCGACTGGGCGTGACCGTTTCATTTCCTCCTGTATTCGTCGAAACCGAGGCGCACGTTGGTTTTCAATCCTAAATGGGACACGAAAAAATCCCAGTGTCATAGAGGTCAGCTGAACGCGATCGGCCTTCCATCCATTCCTTGAAATTTGGGTTGCAAACAGCAATTCTGTTACCGGCCATCTTAACCCGTGCTGCTTGCCTAGTTTGTGTGAGGTGGCATGGAAGTTTCTCCATCGCAGGACCACATGACAACTGGATGTTTAGTCATAGCAATGTCTTCGCTCTTCGAGAGATGCTAACGGCGACTTGGATAGGCACAGGCAGGTTAGTCAGGTGAGTCGAAGATGCGCAGCGCATGTTCTTGCACCCGGTGGAGTACAACTCCGTAACTTTCAAATGGGGCTTGCTCGACTCCCGGCGTCTGCCGCTGGGGGAATATGTTATAACCCTTCGTACGCGCACCGGAGTTATCACACGTTGAATCCCTACCTCTAATATCAGCCAGCATGTCTACCAGTGCGGCTGTCTGCGTCTCGATACTCCTAGTTTTTTTGCCTGGCGTCAGCGCACAACACCAGGTGGGATTTAATGCACAATCAAACGTTCCTGCTCAAATCTTCGTACAGGAGGACGTACGAAACAGCTTGGAGTTTGCTGCCAGAGCAGCAGATAAAGCAACTGGCGACGACTACGCCAGATGGTTCAACACTTTCAAGACTACGCTTTTAAATATACACTGGTTTAGCCAACAGGATGGGTTCGTTCATGCTGCTTAACACTTGCTACAGTCAGTTTATGCTCCAACCCAATGTTGACAGGCTAGAACAGGAGGTCCAGGGACTAGTCTTTGACTCTTTGGACTTGACCGGTTCAGAGCGCGATCTGCTCATCCGTGCTTTGAACGCCCTCCAGCAGAAAGCAGAAAACGAACAAGCACTAAATCTGTTCAACCAGAGTGCTCTTGATGAAGTCAGTCAAGATGCAATTTCCCGTTTGCTTTTTATCGGAGGGGGGAGTTACCATGGCAAATTTCAGCTTGCCGTTTGCTCGTGAGTCCACGATATGTGGTCCCGCCATTACATTGCCACTCAAGCGAACAATTGTCAGGGAGAAGAACGGCGCCGTTGCTGTCTCTACTTCCTACATCCACTTCAACGTCGATGGGGCACAATACAGCAGCGTTCTCTATGCAGATGGCAAGGTGGAAACGAAGACTACACTCTGTAAGTGGAATGCTTCGAAATGCTGACAGGATGTTGACTCAGTGAGTTTAGCGACCCACGTGCTTGGTTTGAACAGTGAACTATACAGCAAAGTTCGCGATTCGATTAAGAAAAGGACTTGAGGACAGTGGGATATCTGAACAAGCGCCCATCTCTGGATTGTAACAAGTGAATGCGATGTGTGGCCACCATCTATATATAGTAACAAATAGGAATCATTAACTGGATCGGTGGAGTGAATTGTATTGCCGAATCCTGAGGCCTGATCGGCTGATCCTACATTGCTGTTGTGTCGCGCGTTGTGGAGAGCCCATCACCCATCTTCGTTTTTACGTTGTTTACATTTTTTTACAAGGTCACTGCACCTGGAAATTGTGGAAATTGTGCGCACTTTTTCCGACGTTCTTGCAATCGAATATATTGGCGCTGTGGGAAACTCCGTGACTCCGGGCATAGTTGATTCCTGAGACTATTTCGGGCATCCTCCTATGCTATGTCGACGCCAACCGAATGTCTCGTGCAGGGTATATAGACACGGTCACCGATCTGGTGTTGTTCAGTTACGCCCGGAAGAAGAACGATAGGAGACGGGACGACAATTGCGGGTACTTTGGACCCTAACCCAGCCAGAAGAAGCGACAATAAATGAGCGTCGGAATCGATGACCACCATTTGCGAAGGTTAGGGATAACCTCCATGGTCGTCGGCGTCAAAAACATGGCCGGGCACGAAGCCGATGACCTGCGACAGAAGTGTACGGGGGAGAGCCGAAGTCTAGTCCAAGTACTAACACACGACGAACGGTGCCATGTCCCAGACCTGAAACCTCTGACCAGCGGAGTCTGCAGCTAAGTAGGTTTCGAGCGGCATCCGACCTAACTTTTGGTCATTAGGCGTCCACAAATTCAACTAAGGATACGTATTCGTCAATCAGTACACTGCCTGCATGGAAACTAACCCATGAAGCACAAGTGCATCTTTGCGGTTGCTCATCACGGGTTTGACAGTATCCTACGTGAATGAATTCACGGCAGTTCGTTAAGAACACATGGAGCGGCCACCCGTCGGGCCGTCTCGACGTACTCAAAGAATTAGTAGTCGCCACGTTGGATTTTGCGTAGTGAAGCGAGACAGCTCAACGTATATCTGCACTCGTAGGTTTATCGCTCGTTCGGGGTTACAACCGAGGTACACAGCTCATAGATCTTCATGCTAAACCAGACAGCATGTAATGTCCCTTGACACGGAAATGAAGTCTGCTGTGAGATCTAGCGCGGTGAGAATTCATACAGCAGGCACCGTGGCAACATCATTGGTGAGCAACATATGTAGTACGGGGTTTGGAGGTGTGCAAAGACACAAGTACCAATGCATCGTCTCACCCCGCCCTCGTGGAGTCACTCGCTTGATTGCTCGCTAATGACTTGCATAAGCATTGCATGTGAAAATTTTCAATCCGCTAGTCGACCGTGACTTCACCGTCAACAATGAGGCACATCCACAGCGGAGTATCACAGCCGGATGAGCTACCCCGATACTCATGCCAGGAACTGGGGCACATCCGGATGGGGGGCAGAAAGAACGGATGGGGACGTAACATGGATGGTGGGCAGACAAGGTAGAATGCCGGACGGAAATGGATTAAGCCAAGGATGTACTTTCCACTCATCGATTTCAAAAGGAAGAACTCAATCTGTCGCCACATCCGCAAAAAAATGACAACTCGGGTCCTCCCAGAATCATCCTTCCGTACCATTAGCCACGGCGCAGGACGGTAAGCACAGCTTGTTTAGAATCAATCAATTATGACTATCATAAAGGCTGCCGGAAAAGTAGGTAGCCAAAATAAACACACCTGTAGCACCCGAGCTCACCCGAAGTGGTAGGGCACCAGTAGCAAACTGATGCGAGAGACACAACTAGGAATCGAGAATATTCTGGCGGGATGCGGCGCCGGCCGAGACGAGATCTACTGCATACCCAAGATTGATGACGCTCATGCAGGACTGTTGACGGCTGCGGTCGCAGTCGAGAGCGAACGCGATCTGGTCGGCGAGGATGATCCACATGCATTCGTGGGCGCACGCAGACTGGATTTAACGACACAGACACTTCCTTGTGCACAGGTAAAAGAAATGATACATACTGTCCCTTCTTGGCTATCTATTCCCGCATAAATTAGTTTATATGTGAGCGAAGCCTTGATGCAGCTATGGATAACGGGAGCGGTTCAGGGTGATGAAGATGCTGATGTAGGTGTGGACGTATGGCAGAAAGAGAATGGGTAGTCGCGGCGGAGGAAATTCTGGGATTTGGCGATCGACTACGACATCAAACTCGATTCCAGGTACCACGCAGAATGTGAACTTGAGTCCGAGCACACCCTCCTGTACACGCACACACCCGCACACGAACACGAGCACATAGGCGCGCAGGTCCGCGCTTTTGCGGATGCGCCATGATTCAAAAATGTACAGATTCACCTTTTCCATCTCTACGCACCTGATACGCATCCGCTCATCCAAGCGTCCATGGAGCTATTACGATATCTTCGATGGTTTGTCCTGCATCTGTATGGCCATGGGTTTGGGTGTTGGAATTGGAATGAACTCAAGCCTGGGTTGTTCCGAAGGAGAGAAAATCGAAACGGTTGCAACCCGGGCAACCCCCAATGAACACAGGGACTAGCGCCAGCACGAGTGGGATGCCAAGACCAAGGCCCAAATTAAAGCCAAGCGCAAAGGGAGAAGATGCGGAACGGAGGAGCCTGCGGTCTTCGTTGTTGCTGTGGCGTTACTGACGACACCTGTAATATTTACGCACGCGCGATCACGTCGGAGATGTCGCTGGGGATGGTGACAGTGCTAGCGATAGTGGGGAAGTTGTAAATGGCAGCAGCGATGTTAGGACTGGAGGAAGATGCCTAGGAGAGGGAACAACAGCTCTGCGATTAAGATGCTGATGTCAATTGATGGGTGCACCGACACGGAAGTTGTGACATCGTTAAGCACGCTTATTGTCGTGGACTCCTGATTACTCGAATATGTACACCATTGCTGATGCACATATATCGGTTTTTTTACGAACTCGAGAAAATTGTCAGCTTGGAGAACTCCACTAGAACAAGGTTACGCACGCACACAACAAATATTACTGTAATGCACATATCCTTCTCAACTCAATACCTACTGGTCGACTTTGTAGGATGAGTGAGTTACATTGAAGTTCGTTCATCGTCTCTCGCTTCTACATAGTTTATTTTTATGACACGACCGAACGCCCAATTCAAAGACCTGTATTCGGAATCCGACTCAGAACGTCACCCTGCCAGTGAAACGTTAAGGGCTCTCCAGAATTCGAAAAACGGGGGAGGCACAGGAGGGAGTGCAATGTACCGCATGTATGACTCCGTTTGTTGAGATGTACACACAGCGCACTCCGTCGCGGCGGTCCCTCCAGTCGGTGAAAGAGAAACCAGAGCAATTGCCATTTCACATCAGTTTACATTAACACGCTTTGAACTTTCACTTTGAAATACAATCGAGACCCTGGCGCGACCATTCAAATATCCACCCCGTCGATGTAGTCACCAGCCGCCTTGTCCAATTTGTCCTTCGATCTTCTGTCTGACCGAGTCGATAGTCCTCTGATTCGCAGCGGCATCCACATTGTCTGCGACATAATGAATAAGTTGGGGAATATAGAAAGCAAGCTTACATACCCTTTTGCACATTGGCCTTGATGTTCTTGATACTGAAAATCAGATAATCATCCACCTTGGCATTGCAACTGAAAGTGAATGCTGAAAAACGCATTGCCAGCGCTCCATTTGTAACCCTTTCGGAGAATTATGAATGCCTACGTATAAAGAAAAAAAATCAAGTGAGAAATACATACGTCGCTGAGTTAACACCAAAGGACCCCTTGTCACCACCGGCGGTGAAGCTCCTGAAGAAAGCACGCTTTTCCGCCTGGCTTCGCAACGATTTCAGTGATCGGATAACAATATCTTTTTCTGCGCTGGAATAGAGTGGGTCCCCGCTGACATTGTCAATCACGTAGTCGCTGAAGTTCTCGGCACCAGTTGTTGTACCATCAATGAAATCCGAAGACCACTCGTCAGCCTGCTTGAACCATCCAATTTGGAAAATAGACGTCTTGAATGCATTCCAATATGCCGCGGTATGGTCATCAGCCCCCACTTCCTTGGCGGCAACGCGAGAAGCGAACTCGAGGGAATTGGCAACGTCCGTCTAAATGGTGGCAAATGCCAACTGAGGTGTCAATACTTGGCATCATCGTAAACAAGGTGCACTGACGCGGTTTTGCCCAGTGAGGTTGGCAAGGACGGAGACCAGAGTGCCACCAACAGTGGCGGCGCCATCCTGACCAGGTTCACCCAAATATTTTCCACGGTCTACACAAACCCTCATTAATTTCGGAGGGCGATACATGAGGCCGTCAACGCACACCTTTGTTTTCTGAAAGGACTGCAGCCCTTGAGTACAGACCGACCTGGATGGGATTCAAGGTCGCTGATTCGATGTACGCCAAGGCTTGAGCAATATCGTCGGACATGTCGATATGAAAGAACTTGAGAGGAGTTCACACTAAATTTATGAGATACAGTGGTTCTGGGTTCAGAGCACGCCGACACACCCACTTTATACCCATGGGCTCTACAGTCTTGATCCATATCTGGTGAGATCGTGATGCTCACGGTGCACGATCACCAAGATGAGATTATCACCCGTGCACGGTTGGCCCCTTGATCATGGATACAGCCTTATGCTTTCGGGTTCAAGGAAGTCCAGAAGGAACCGGGTATGTAGTTGGAAATCGAGAGCCGGTATGGTTGTCCCTGGTCGTCCACTTGCATGTTCCCATGATATGATTGACATGTTCAATGGAACTCAGGGGGTTTCCAAGCCACATGTTCCAAGGATCTGGGTCGGTGATGCCTCGCCACATGCCCCACGTCCCCACAGCCTTCGGCAATGATAGGCAAGCGAACCGGATTTCCTTACCGTCAATGTATGGGGATCAGTGAAGTTACTGTAAGACTGAAATAAGTAGTTCTGTAAGAGTGTCCTCAGCCACTTACGTACTATGTAATTATTCAGTCAGATTGTCTTCCAGAATTCAACAGGTTTGTACAAAGCGTTCCCGGTACTCCTTTCTGCACAGGTCAGCTGTCACCAATCATAAGCCCAAATGGGATTTGGAGCTGCAAGAATTAATGACACATAACTTGTGTCCTCTCAGAAGACTGCGGGGTCACCAAAGGTAGCATCATTCCTGCTGTCTTGTTGCTCGCGTCTCGAGCCTTGTATATGTACATTCCCAACGTCCGGGCATCTCCAGAAATTTTGATTTGAAACTAGTGCATCAGCACCCGTAGAATATGAAAGATCAACTGAATGCAATAGTCTTCCATACCAGAGTGATTCTTCTCATCAGGAAGCGGATAAATGGTTTAAACCTGTTTAAACCCGTCACTGACTGGTCGTGACCGCGATTCCGTCATTCACTGTCCCTCTGATGCTCGCCTCGTTAACGCCAATAGTCACTGGGATACGGCATCGCAAAACTGCTCCACTTACCAATCAGGCGTGAAGATAAAAGTTCGTGTCAACCACACGAAAGCTTAGGTGGTGAGTTGGGGGCCGAAATGCCACTTCCGTTGCCTGATAGGGGAAATTGTTAGTCCTGTTCGTTGACCCAATTGCATAGCATCCGACGCAACACATTACCATGTATTGTGCAAGTGCTTGATGCGGTACTAGTATATCCAGCCAGGGCGTGAGCGGTGGTTCCAATCCATCTGTCATAACTAGCCTAAACAATGATTGGGAGCCGTGATATCCGGGCGGCCGCCTCATATTTGACACTTTGAACGGACGTGGTAACCCCCTACTCCGGAATATTGGTTCTACACATTTGACTCTGGTACCTCAAGGATATCATCTAGGAATACTAAGGACGTGTCTTGCTGGGAATTAGCGCTGCAGAACAAGGCTTCTCTACGCAGGTTAGCTGCATGAAGCCGACTGGACTTTCTTAAAGTGCATGAAAAAACGTAGTCCAGTCCTAGATCTTGGTGTTCGTGCCATGGGCGTGACGTCTTCCTGCTGCATCATGGACCTGTTACGTTGGACGCTAAACGGGGTATTGTCAAAACATGGTATGGGTCAGCTGAACGCAGCAGCCTTTCACGCCAGGACGTTTCATCCTGCCTTCTTTGAAAAATTGACCCATGCAGGTGTGACGGGAGTGCTCAGCCTCCATGGTCAGCCGAAGTCAATTTTGAGGTTTGGTACTTAATATCCAACTTGGTGGAGACCAAATTCGTCAATACCAAGCGCCGAGGCACACGCTGTTCCACATTTTCACACACTTTCAATTCTGGGCCAGATACCTCAAGGGTCAGGACTCAGCTGAATGTGAACGTCTTCTATGCGAAAAATTTGACTTACATTTCTGGACATTTGGGGTGCCGGCGATCTTGCTATCCGGGAACCGTGACTTGAAATACGCAGCTCCCAGGGGCTTCGACATAGACCACGTGACTGTGCATTGAATGTCTTCCATTCAAGATGCCTGCTGTCATGAAACCGTCGGTGCCAAACGGCAACTTGGACAAGCTCATACCGATCAATCAGGTCCACGAGTTCAAATGGGGCTTGCTCGTCTCAGCTAACGGCGTCTGCCGCGGGGGGATGGATTATAACTCTTCGTATCCGTGCCAGATATACTACACATTGCATCCTACCTTCAGTATAAACCAGCATGTCCTGTTCCGTCATCGGGTCCGCCAGTGCGGCTGTCTGTGTTTCAGTACTCCTAGTTTTCTTGCCTGACGTCAGCGCACAACACCAGGTACGGTTTAATCCACGGTGAAATGTACTTTCTCAATCTTTGTACAGGAAGACGTACGAAACAGCTTCGAGCTTGCAGCCAGGGCAGCAGATAAAGCAAGTGGCGATGACTACGCCAAATGGTTCAACACTTTTAAGACTACCCTTCTAAATATACACTGGTTTAGCCAACAAGATGGGTTCGTTCACACTGCCTAACACTTTCCACGGTCAGCTTACGCGTGCCCCCTACGTTGACAGACGTGAGGAAGAGGTCAATGGATTGGTCTTTGACTCTTTAAATGTGTCCAAATCGGAGCGCGAACTGCTCACCCGTGCTTTGAACGCCCTCCAGCAGAAGGCTGAGAACGAAGAAGCACTAAAGCTGTTCAACCAGGGTGCTCTTGCTCAAGTCAATCAAGACGTGGTCTCCCGTTTGCTTTTTATTGGAGGGGGGAGTTACCATGGCAAGTTCCAGCTTGCCATTTGCTCGTGAGTTCACGATAGTGGTCCCCCATTCCATTGCCACTTAAGCGAACAACCGCCAGGGAGAAAAATGGTGCCATTGCAGTTTCTACTTCCTATGTCCACTTCAGCGTCGATGGGGCGCAATACAGCAGCGTTCTCTATGCGGATGGCAAGGTGGAAACGAAGACTACACTCTGTAAGTAGAACGGCTCGAAACGCTGAGGGGACATTGACTCGTGACTTTAGCGGCCCACGTGCTTGGTTTGAATGAGGAGCAATACAGAAAGGTTCGTGAATCGATCAAGAAAAAACTTGTGGACACTGGGGTATCCGAGCAAGCGCCCGTCGTTGGGTTGTAATATGTGTGAACGTGATAGCAGGCCACCGTGTATGTAACATTCTGAACTAGTGCAGTGAACTGTGTTTCTGTTGTGTCCCTCGCCGTTCGTGGAAGCCACAAGAGAGTTCATCGTAAGCACTTCATGTATATGCACTTTGGAAGCCCGCTGGATTTACAGATGTCATGATGACTAGCGTTGTTTTTCTCCGCAAGTCCTGGACATTTACTATTCTTGAGGTTTTTCATCCGCCGAGCTGGCAACGTCACCAAAATCCTGCAAGTCTACCGGTAGGGATTAACAAACAATCACCCTTTTCTTTAAATCGAGTGAGGACTGGGAGAATATGATAGTTCTTCTCTGGGATATCGCCCACGATACCATGAATTCCTATTCTCGTTGCTCAGTGCTTTTCATCGCAAATTTTGATTTTCAACTCGTGGTATGTACAGAACAATGCTCCATCAGACACTGCATTCCTTTAGAGGAGATCGAAAACCTCTGGTCCACTTTATGCAACCTTAGACAGTTGCAGTTGAGAGCGAGATGCGTGTATACCACCCAGAGGCCGAATAAGCAGTAAACCCACGGCACAGACAGAGTTGCTGCACTCCTGACAAACTTTACGCGAGAATGGAGGATTTTTCACATTTGAGATGCTTCTTGTGTCGTGCAGGATGCAATCGACTCAAGCTGGTGGTGCTAGAGCTAGTAGATGCGCAGTCGTCACCATAGCTGCTATGTGCACTGGTGTGCATATACATTTTTGGGTGGAGTGCACAGACTACGCTGGCTATCTAATCTTGTCCATATCCGTGTCCAAAGTCCAGAACAAAGCGCACTTGACCTCATATCTTCGGCATCGATGCACCCTTCAAAACGTCAACCAGCATCCCCATCGCAGAGCTGTCCCTGCGCCTTGCCAGTCCTCCCTCCAATATCTCTCTCCCACTTCTGACGTCTCCATTGCTATCCCCAACTTCCGCATCATCTCTAGTACTGCCACCATCCCCAAGATCTCCGATACGATCTTCCCCGACGTCCTGCATTACTACCTTCGCCGCGCTTGCGAACACAGGCGTCGTCTGTAACGCTACAGCAGGCAACGAAAACCGCTTTCTCCTCCGCTCCGCATCTTCTTCCTTCGTACCTGTCTTTGGTCTGGGCCTTGGCCTCGGCATGACACTCGTATTCGTGCTTGTGCTTACGTTCGTTCGGGGATTGCCCGCGTTGGAACTGTTATCACTTTTCTCTTCGTTGGAAGATCCCAGACTGGGGTCTATTCCAATCCCAGCACCCCAACCCACCTCTGGACCCGCCGACTCATGCATGGCAAAATCATCCAAGATGTCATGATAGCTGCGTGGACGTTTAGATGAACGGATGCGTATCGGGCGTGTGGAGACGGGAAGGTGATCCGGTACATTTTCGAATCGTTGTGGGTTTGTGTCTCCGTAAGTGTGGACTAGTGCGCCAACGTGCTCGTGTTCATGCGCAGGCACACGGTTGTGTGCGTGTACAGGGGCAGGTGTGCATAGATTCGAGTCGAGACTCTGCCTGGTACCTGGAATCGAGTTTGATGTCCCAGTCGACCATCGAGTCCTCGGAGGATTCCCTCTGCCACGACTATCCTCCTTTTGGTATACGTTCAGGCCTACATGAGTGTCATTATCATCGTGAGCCTCGTCTTCCTGCTCATCCACGCTCTCGCCGTTGCCATGATTCCCTCGATCGCGCCCACTATCCATGGCCATCAAGGCTTCGCTCACGTCTAAACTGCGTCGTGCAGAAATAGACAGCCAAGGAGGGATACCAAGTATCGTGTCTACTCGTGCACAAGGACGTGTCTGTGTCATCGAATCCAGTCCGGGCGCGCCCAAAAATGTATTTGGATCATTCTTGTCGCCCTGACCGCATCCACCCTCTATAGCAGCAGTCGGCGGTCGTGCACGACTGCCATCAATCTTATCCTTTACATTGTGCTTGACGTTTGGGCCAGACTCAGGAAAAGTGGGGCTAGGAAGAAGAGGAAATGTCATATCGTAACACTCGGTGCACGCACGCGCAGGTTTTGGTTTAGCCAAGGAATCTGCGTCGAGCCGAGAAATATAGAATGTCTATAAGCGTAGACGAGGGAGAGAGAGAGAGAAGCGTCAACAAAAGTTCCAAATCATGAATGGCCTACCAAATATATGGGTATTGTAAACCAATTGCCTTACCTTGTCAGAACACGCCTGCACAAACCACTCTCCCACATATCCGACAATGATGTTTGCGTCGCCATGCACCCCTTCCTCTCTCCTTCTCCTTCCCACTCTCTGTTTTTGTGTTGGCGTCGTCCCCGACACTGACCTTTGCGGTCCTCCATCCGAAGAAGCTCTCAAATCTGAGATCCAGGACGAATCCAAAGGGTCTCCCACATCGCATGCACTTGTTCGCTTTTGCATCGGGAGTCCATACGGGTGGAAGGAAGTGGTCGATGTGTGCTCTCCGTTTGTGCGTTTCACTGCTCTTTGGTGCCATCTGCGGCAACTCATTTCCCCTAGGCTCTTCAGGTGAGAGTCCTACCGGTATCACTCGAGTATCGAGACGTAGCCAAGTACTCAAACGCCAGCGAGTTTTCGCAAGGATCAGCGCTTTCATACGCAAATGCCCTCAATGCCTGCCGGATGTGAACATTGGATCCGCTCGCTGATAACGTCGAGTCAGGATTCACTCGTGCAAGCGCTGCGAGACGTGCAGCACGGGCTGCGCGGAGAGATGTTAGCCACGCGTCAAGGATTTCTCGTTCATCTGATATTTTCTGTTGTTTGGATGCAGAGCCTGAGGGGGAAGGGGGTAAGAGAAGGAAGGTAGGACACGCATATATGTACTAAGATGTATAACAAGAACAAATACATACCTGCTGGTGCGTACAACGCAAACGACCCTTGCGGGCTGAGGACATCAAGTCGTGGAATCACGTCATTATGCACGATAGTTATCACAACTTCCAAATCGATGAGATCGAGGTGACCTGCGTATGACCATCTTTCATTCTCGCCGCGTGGGCCGGGACGCTGTTCAAGGAGATCAGGGCTATTGTTTGTGTCGTCGCGAGATAACCAAAGTAGATGATCACTCAGGAGAATGAATTCGTAGGGAGCAGAGGAAGAAAGCCCTTGGCAAAGGAGTGTGCCACGTTTGAGGAGATCTCGACCGGGCGTTACAAGGGGGGATAATGAGGAGGGGAGGTTGTTCGTGTTGCGTTGGAGATTGAGCAGGGAGAGTGTTTGAGCATGTGCTGTGAGAGATGTGTTGAGGGAGATCGTGACTGTGGCCCGGAGAGTGAAAATTGTGAGATTGTGATATAAGCATCCGAATGAAAATGGGGGAGGACGTACTCTTTTCTACGAGACCGAGGGATCGTTGGAGTGTTTCGTATTCAGTAGAACTTGGGTCTGTGGCTTGTACGAGGTCTTTGAGGAGAAGAAGGTAGCGTGGGCACCGTTGGACGAGAGTGAGGAGGTAATCGGATAGACGGAGATGCGCACAGCGAGGGTGTGATTCCTGGGTGCGCAAGAAGGCTGTGAAACTTGGGTTTGGCGAAGCGCTAATACTAGAGAGTGACATGAGGAATGTCAGCGAAGCCGGGAATGAGGTTATGAATGGGGTGTAAAGAGAGAGGTAGGGAAAATGTGCGAGAAGGACGGTGGAGAGTGAAGTCGACTTGGATCGAAGATTTTCTGTCAATGCAACCACAAATGTACGGTGAAAGTTCCAGATGTCTATGAAGTTGGAGAAGAGCGTGGTCAATTCTTGACGGGTGAGAAGAGGATTTGGGGTGCTGAGAGATGCAAGGATAGGTGAAAGGAAATGCTGTGTGATGTAATCGTCAGCGGTCGCCGTGGGCTGGCGAGCGGGGGAGCACACGCACTTGGTACACCAGATCGAGACCATTGAAATAGGACTTCTCTGTCTCGTAGAACTCTGTGACAATCTTGACTCGTCTCGCATCTCTCGCTTCGTCTGACGAAGTACGCCGATGCACGCGCCTTGTCCTCGTTCTACGTTGTGGCGGTAGCTGGGACGAGACGATGGAAGCACGGTGAGGGGCGGGTGCTGAGGCTGCGGGGAGGGAGATGCGTCGGAAGGGGAGGTAGACGAGGGGAGAAGGGACGGGGATGGGGGCAGACTCAGATGTCGGGAAGCTGATCAGACTGGCCATGGAGGAGGAGGCGAGGACGACATCATCGCATCCTCGGTGGGCTGGTATGAAATCAGTCAAGGCCAAGGATGGAAAGCACGAGTGCACGTGACATCGCTTCTTGTTCTCTCGTTAGTACATGGCATCGGAGGTGGTGACACAACGACTGCACATCTCCGGACTCACACCGTCCATCACGCCCTCTGACATCCACCGCAGGCTCTCTGCATTTGGGTCAGTCAAGTCCTTGGATGGATTCGGAAAATTAGATGCACTGGGTGACCCGAGACCATTTGCATATGTCACGTTGGAGGGCAAGGAAAAGGATATCGCTAAATGTACAGAGATGTCTCATTCGAATGACTCTTGCTCGTCCTGACTTTGTCTTGTCCACAGGTATGAATGTACTCAGCGGGTCCACATGGAAGGGAGCAAAATTGCGTATCGGAGAGGCAAAACCAGATTATCACCAACGGTACATCTCCCACCCTTGTGTCGATTTATTCCTCCTCCTCCTCACCCTATACTCCCAGCATCGCCTATGTCAACTCCCTTTCACCTCCTCCACCTCGCACTCCCCGCTTAAAAAGACGCCAACTCGCCTTCCCATCCACCACACTGCCACTCGATACACCCCTCTCCCGTAATGACGCAGCGAAAACACCAGGCTGGGTCGTTTTACCTTCTGGAAGGGTTGTTAGACCTATGAGGATGAGGCCTCTGCGACCCTTGGAACCGACACGAGCTATGGGAGGTTGGCAGGGAACTCGGGGAAAGACGGGTAAGAAGGCGAAGAAGAAAAAGGTCCCGCCGTTACGGGCACGTAGACGCTTGATCGACCCAACAAAATGGGACTCGACCTATCTGACAGGCGCGTTTTTGGAAACGCTCGTCGTCCCCTCTGTTTCTTCTCTTCCTTTTGGGTCTGCAGCCCAGCCCACCGAGCTCGAGTCTGACGAAGAGGAATGCAATGGTGAATACGTCCCCTCTCAAAATTCTTCCAACATCATCCTTGAAGGTCAACCACCTTCACAAACCACTCCCACTCCCACTGCCAACTTCTCCAACCCTAGATTTGGTACAGACGTGAACATCGACATCCGCAAAGAAACATCCGCTGCACTTACGCTCCTCAACACGATATTCGGAGAGACGGATGAGTGGGGACGGACGCGAGAGCGTTGACGAATTTGGCGGTATAGATGATGGTCCCGGTGATCATTCCGCAATGGTCGTTGATGCGGGTGTGGGTGAAGTAGGTGAAGGCGAGATTGAAGAGGTGCCTCGGCACGCCTCCTCCAGGGAGGGGGACGCGCGAATAAATCCAGTCGATAAGGTGTCCAGCAATGAGGAACAAAGGGAAGATATACAAATGGGAGACTCGCACCCGACCACCGCTCATCTACCTGCGACTGCTACTGGTACCACAGCGACTTCGAAAGCGGACACCTGCCAGCGCAACTGGACCGACGAAGATGAAATTGAAAGACTTGTTTGCACCGAGAGAAGAAGAGCGTAAGTACCCTTTCCCCATTGTTTGGTAGACTATATTATGTTCGCTTTTCGTCTTGGCCTTGATTGTTATTTTACGAACCTCCCCGCATTTTCAGATTATCGATCCTTTTTTCCTGTTCCTTCTACAAATTGCTCTTGTTTCATATGGTATAAGATCTAAAGTGAAATCTGCAGCGTCTTTCTCCCTCCTCGGCCATCTCGATCTCGATTTGGAGCTCGAGGACGATGTACTCGGTTGTTCATCCGTCCCCACCACAGCACTACCCTCCACGCTTGTAACCACATCAAGTTCAGAACCGTTCTCCAGCTCAAATTGGAACCAGGAGGTAAAAAGGCTTGGACGCGAAGGGAGCGCTGTCATCACTCCAGACTCTACCCGGCGACTTCTCTTTCCCCTTGTCGAATCATTACCCTACTCCAATTCTGGTGCACGAATCTCAATCTCAAAACAGGCGCGTACACACGCGAGAAGTGATACTTGGTCCGTCGTCTTTCCACGTTCCCAAGTAAATGTTGGCACTCCACAAGACCAGAGTAATCCACCTCCACTCTCTGGCACAGGGCGGAAATTCGAGAGGTCCCCTGACACTACGGAACAGTTTATACGCGAGGCATGGGAAAGGGATAAGAGCGAGATGACGAGCGCGTGGAAAAAGGCATGGAAAGAAGCGAAGGGGAGGAAGAGGGGATGTGCTGCCGCTGATGGAATGGACGTGTAGTGAGGATCATCTATAGGCTCTGTTGATGTCACTCCCCACATTCCATGAACACCGTGGCATATGACCCGTTTCCCGCGGGTAAGCTGATATATATTTTTGAAGAGAAGGATGGTACGTCGTGCTCCTTGGTACAGAGCCCCACAAGCAAGCATTTGTCCAACAGTACGACACGTATTGTCGTTGTTCCCTCACAATCTTCGGTTTAAGGCGATACCAGAAACCAGCGCAAGGTCAGTCATTTCATATCCAAAATATGTACAGTAGAGGCACGCAGGACCATCCACCGCGAAGAAACCATGCAAATATCCACGTTATAACCGCTAGCTGCCTCGTCCAAGTCTTCGATCTATTTTTCAACGCAGCACCGACACGCATGAATTCGGGGAAACTCCGCGGGCCGGCCGGACAAAATTTTCTGATTCGGACATCACCTAACACGATGCGGTATTACTCGAATACATACCAATCACTTAGCGGCGTAATAGTAGCTAATTGGTATGATCCCCTTTCACCTCTTAGATGTCAATCCTGTCGATATAGTCACCAGATGCTTGTTCCAGTTCCTCTTCGATCTGTGCCCTGAGCCGGTCAATGGTTCCCTGGTCCGCGCGAGCCTCAACAATTCCTAATCAAAACACTGCATCGATTGCGTTTTCCATCCAACGGTATGTAGGACGTACCTTTCCTGGCAACGAATTCGATATGTGCGATGTTGGTGTTAAGATAATCTTCCACTTCGACATTGCAACTGAACATGAACCCGGAATAGCGCAGTTTGAGGACGCCGTCTTCGACCCTTTGAAAAAACCATGATCAAAACTGATAATCGGCAACTTTTTAGAGAACGTACGACGCAGTGCTAACCCCTAATAACCCATGGTTCTTACGGACCGTGAACCTGCGAAAGAATTCCCTGTGACCTGATTGATTCCGGATGATGTCGAGCCCGTGGATGACAAGATCCTTTTCCTCTTGGGTGTAGAGTGGGTCGTTCCTAATGTTGTCGATGACATAATCACAGAATGTCCCAATGTCGGATGTTGTATCCTCCAAAGAGAGATCCGACTGCCTGCAGGTAAGTAAATGAGTTGGAGTCACGGCCTTCATGATAAGTTCTCTCACTCGTCTCTGATCTTTTCCCATCCGATACTGAAGAGGCAATTCGTGTATTCATCCCAGAATCTCTCAAAACCTTCGTCCTCTGTTGTCTCTTGCAGGGCGATGTGGGTGGCATACTCAAGGCTGTTAGCTACATCTCTCTGAACAATTTCAGTTTTCTACAGGATTTAGTTAAATGCGTTGCGTACCCTGTTCTGCTCGGTCAGGTTGTCCAGCACGGACAACAAGGTACCCCCGATGATAGCAGCTTCAGGCCCACTTGACCTCCCAAAAGGCTTTATACGAACTACTGGAGCATCGAGATCATGGTGACATACCGATACCAACACTGACTTACATTCCTTTCTTCTGGTTACTACGTCATTTAGACTGTGGATGCATCCGGCATTGTCAATGCCAGCTGTGGTCGGTTAAGACTCCTACGCGGTTTGAGTTGCCAGGAATCCCTTACGGTCAGTAATGTGAATGTCGGGCATGGTCATTTGCAGGATTACACGTCACGGACTGAGGCTAAATGCCTTCCAGATAGAGAGAGAGAGAGAATCGAGGGGATTGGCGCCCAGCTCGAAAAGCTGGTATATATACATCCATGATTGCCCGCTTAACAGGGGTCGTTTTCCCGAATTGTTCAGGACCACAAAATGCTTCAAGCCGCAAGTGGCGATTGGCTCCCGGTACCTATTGACATATCGCCGCTCTATTGTGTGGCGAGGAACGAGCCATGGGTGTAGATTACTATTTATTAATATGTTCTCTTGTCTTTCGGCTGCTAACCCTGCTTGAGCAATCGCTTTAACGTTCAAGCTCTCCCCAAAGTCGTATTATTGTGGAGCAAGTGAATGTGCCACTCATCAATTACTGCACAACGTACTCGGCTACGGGATGCCTAGACTCGTGCCACCTATTACTGAACTCCATAGCCATGCTCTTAACCAAGAGAGACCAGCAAAATTGCCACATCACATCAGCACACTTTAAACTTTCACGAATACAATCGAGACACAAGTACAAATCGCCAAAAAGCAACCACTCAGATATCCACATTGTCGATATAATCACCAGCCGCCTGGTTCAATTTATCTTCGATTTGCTGCCTGACCGCGTCGATGGTTCTCTGATTCGCAGCAGCCTCCACGTTATCTGTGACATAATAAATGTGTTGGGGGGCGGGGGATGACAAGCGTGCTTACATACCCTTTCGTACATTAGCTTTGATGTTCTTGATGCTGAAGATCAGATAATCATCCACCACGGCATTGCAATCGAACGTAAATGCAGAGAAACGCATTACAAGTGCTCCATTTGTAACCCTTGCAGAGAATTAGTGAATCGTCGAAAAAAAGTAGCGGAGGAATACATACGATGCTGCGTTAACACCGAAGGACCCCTTGTTACCACCGGCGGTGAAGCTCCTGAAGAATGCGCGCTTTTCTGCCTGGCTTCGAAGCGATTCCAGGGCTCGGATAACGATCTCTTTTTCTGCGCTGGAATAGAGTGGGTCGTTTCTGACATTTGCGATCACATAGTCGCTGAAGTTCTCAGCACCAGTTGTTGTGCCATCAATGAAATCCGAAGACCACTCGTCAGCCTGCTTGAACCATCCAATTTGGAATATAGATGTCTTGAGTGCATTCCAGTATGCCTCGGTATGGTCATCGCTCCCCACTTCCTTGGCGGCAACGCGAGAGGCGAACTCGAGGGAATTGGCAACGTCCGTCTAAATGATGGCAAATGCCAGTGAGGCATCAATACTTGTCATCATCTTGAAGAAGGTGCACTGACGCGGTTTAGCCCGGTGAGGTTGGCAAGGACGGAGACCAAGGTGCCACCGACGGCAGCAGCACCGTCCTGACCGGGCTCACCCAAATACTTTCCACGGTCTAGTATGCAGAGCATCATTGATTTTATAGGACGATTATATGAGGTCGCCTACATACCTCCAACTTCCTCGAGAACTTTAGCCCTGGAGTAGAGGCCGACCTTGAGTGGCGCTAAGGTCGCCGACTTGATGTACGCCGCAGCTTGAGCAATATCGTTGGACATGTTGACTTGAAAGAACCTGAGAGGAGTTAACAGTAGATGTGTGAGTCACAGCGATCCTGGATTCAGAACGCGTCTACATACGTCCTTTATACTCACGAGCTTTACAATCTTGATCCATATCTGATGAGATCGCGATGCTTGTGATGCACCAGCACCAAGATGAGATTGCTAACCTGTGTGACTAACCTCCTGACCATGGATGCAACTGTATGTTTTCCCAGTCAGAGAAGCCGAGAAGATGGTTGGAAAGCGGCAGCCGGTAGGGTTCGCCACTCACATGCTCACATGATGATGATCGACGCGCTCAATGGAAGTAAGAATAATGTTTCGAAGACGCACTTTCCTCCGTGTTCCAGGCACCTGGCTCAGCAGTGCAGGCACGGCGTACCCCAGTTTATCCTTTCAGGGGTGATGAACGGGCAACTTCAATGATCTAGGAGATATGTTGCTGTAAGACTGACATAATACTCGCCACCCAACGGCAAGACAAGCATCGCACGTGACTTTCAAGTTTCTGAGGCTAGGACACTCATCTGACTGGCTGCGTTTGCCCCACATTTTGCAAGAGGTGCCGTCGCCGTAATGGAATTATCACCACCCAACTGTGAGTTATCATTTTATCGGCTTGAGTGTCACCGTTTAAGCGATAAGAGGGGGTTATATCCTTACAGTAATCGGAAGCCACCAGTGTCATCTGGTGTGAACGGACACAATTTCTCCCTCGCCACCACATGTGCGTATTGCAACGAACAGCTGTGACGATAACACGATGCATCCACACATCTGGACCAACTGCTCCAAGAGTATCCTTACCTTGTAAATATTCCGCTAGATCATGTCTTCCAGAGTTCAATATATCGGCATAGGGTTTGCACAGAAAGGCAAGGCTGATACGCCGTGTTCTGCGCAGGTTACTTGCCGCATCGTTTCACGGTCGAGACTGCCTTTGGAGAAGTACGCGAAAGTAGGAATCACGATTTTTGCCTTCCTGACATCCACGTCTTGGGCATTGTTTACCCCTGGATTCTCCAATGCCCGAGCACCGCCGGAGACGTTGAGTTGAAACCAGTGCGAATCAGAATCTACAGAACAAGAAAGATCAGCTGAATTCGACAGGTCTTCGAGGCCAGCGCCAGTATTCTCGCATTGTTCACCTTTGTCAGCTGGCCGCATCACATCTGACAACCAGAATGGACGCACCTTCTACGATGGGATATTTGGCCCGTTCAACCGGTCCCGGTGCCATCTAGCAATACTACATTGTCTGTGCTAGCAGCGAGCACAGCAGCCTAAGGACACTTCTCTATGCAGGTCAGCTGCATGGTCCCTACTGGAGTTGGAGTGCATGTTTGATGACATACATTCCATGTCTTCCGGCTCTAGGTTCGCCGCCTGTGCGAGGTATTACCCATCAGCTTCGGACGCATGAGAGAACCGAGATCGTAGTCCATTCATGCCTAGATCTTGGACTTCGTGCAATGGACGTAACTTCTTCCTGCTGTGGTCACGTTACCGGGAATGTTGGATTCTAAACGGAGCATCCTGAAGGAAGCTCCCTGAAAAAAGAAAGGCCAGCTAAATGCCATCACCCTTCTGTGCACCTCAGGGGCCATTCGTCTCGCACGTCCAACGAGAACATCAGCTTCTCAAAGTCGAATTCCAAGTTTCTGATCACATAGGCAAGCTGTGATTGGATGGATAATCGACATCGCAGTCCGACTGGGTGTGACCGTTTCATTTCCTCCTGTATTCCTCGAAACCGAAGCGTACATTGGTTTTCAATCCTAAACGGGATAAGAAGAAAGCCTTTGTCGTAGAGGTCAGCTGAATTCGATCACCTTCCGTGCATTGGAAGTTTTTCCCTGCCTTCCATGAAATTTGGGGTGCAAACAGCAATTCTGTTGCCGGCCATCTTAACCCGAGTAGATTTGTGTGAAGCTTCTTCGTCGCCGACCACGTGACAACTGGATGTTTAGTAGCCGTCGTTCTTTGCGAGATGCTAACGGCGATTTGGATAGGCACAGGCGGGTTGGTCAGGTGCGAGTCGAGGTGAGCACGCATGTTCTTGTACCTGGTGGAACACGACTTTCAAATGGGGCTTGCTCGACTCCCGGCGTCTGCCGCTGGGGAATGTATTATAACCCTTCGTACGCACACCGGAGTTATCACACGTTGAATCCCTACCTCTGATATCAACTGGCATGTCTACCGGTGCGGCTGTCTGCGTCTCCATACTCCTAGTTTTTTTGCCTGGCGTCAGCGCACAACACCAGGTGGGGTTTACTGCACAATCAAACGTTCCTACTCAATCTTCGTGCAGGAGGACGTACGAAACAGCTTTGAGTTGGCTGCCAGAGCAGCAGATAAAGCGACTGGCGATGACTACGTCAGATGGTTCAATACTTTCAAGACTACGCTTTTAAATATACACTGGTTTAGCCAACAAGATGGGTTCGTTCATGCTGCTTCATACTTGCCGCGGTCGACTTATGCTCCAACTCAATGTTGACAGGCTAGAACAGGAGGTTCAGGGACTAGTCTTTGATTCTTTGGATTTAAGTGGCTCAGAGCGCGATCTGCTCATCCGTGCTTTGAACGCCCTCCAACAGAAAGCAGAAAACGAACAGGCACTAAATCTGTTCAACCAGAGTGCTCTTGATGAAGTCAGTCAAGACGCGGTTTCCCATTTGCTTTTTATCGGAGGGGGGAGTTACCATGGCAAATTCCAGCTTGCCGTTTGCTCGTGAGTTCACAATATGTGATCCTGCCATTACATTGCAACTCAAGCGAACAATCTTCAGGGAGAAGAATGGTGCCGTTGCAGTCTCTACTTCCTATGTCCACTTCAATGTCGATGGGGCGCAATACAGCAGCATTCTCTATGCAGATGGCAAGGTGGAAACAAAGACCACACTCTGTAAGTAGAATGCTTCGAATCGCTGACAGGATGCTGACTTAGTGAGCTTAGCGACCCACGTGCTTGGTTTGAACAGTGAACTATTCAGCAAAGTTCGCGATTCTGTCAAGAAAAAACTTGCGGACAGTGGGGTATCTGAACAGGCGCCCATTTCTGGATTGTAATATGTGAATGCGATGCGTGGCTACCATTGATATATCTAACAAATAAGAATCATTAACCGGACTGGTGGAAACAACTATGTTGCTGAGCGCTGAATCCTGGTCCCATGTTGTTGTGTCCTGGGTTGTGTAGAGCTCACCATACATCGTCATGTTTTCGTTGGTTACAATTTTTTACATGGTCGCTGCACCTGGAAATTGTGTCAGACACTTATCACTACATCGATAGTTGGAAGCCTTGGTGAATCGTGATACCCTCATGCAATCGATAAATCGACGTTATCTCTCCTGAGTTCATGTCGTTTCTGCGGCGGGAATATCTAGATTCTATTGCGCAGAGGAACGGGAGAAATGAAGAGCAAAGGCACGAACACTTGCCTTATAATCAAAACGGTAGTAGATTTGAATAAAAGCTTGTTAAGCGTTGAGGGGCTCAGTTGTCGAATAGACAAGTGAAGAACGAATGTAGAATTCAATAGGGATTGAGGAAGAAATCCCTGAGTTTATATACATGAGTAGATACGCATGGACCAAGAGCATAAAAGGAAACTACTACTCAGTATAGTAAGGAACTGCATAGAAGGTCATGGAATATGACGTATGAAATGACATCATACTGATATCATTGTGGAGCTGATTGCTAAAGAATGTCATGTGATGACAACGTGTTGATACACGTGTAAGTCTGGATCAATCTAGATGTCGGAACATATAGTAACATTTCCAACACTCCCCCTCGTTCTAGAATGGGAGTGTAACAAGTCCCATCGACAAGCGATTTGTCTCAAATTTTTGCCACAGTCAAGGATTTTGTAAGACCAGTCTGCTTTTTGTTTGTCAGTTTGCACATATTCAATACTGAACAAATTATCTTGAACACATTCAGTGAACTGAAGTGCCATTGGATGTCGATATGTTTAGAACGACCATCTGATACAGGATTCTCAGCTATGAAGCGAGCTCCCATATTATCGCAATAGAGAATAGTTTTCTCAGTCTTGAGTTTGAGTTCATCAAATAGCATAGCGAGCCATTTGATTTGACGTGCAGTATCACAGAGAGCCATATACTCGGCTTCTGTAGAGGAGAGCATGATTGTCTTCTGTTTATGAGAGCACCAAGAAATAAGGGATGATCCAAGGAACATGGCATAACCAGTAGTTGAATGATGAGTGTCTTTATTAGCGGCCCAATCAGAGTCTGCAAAGCCATAGATTCGAGATTCAAGTCCCGAATAATATAAAGCCAATTTTGGGGTAGATGCAATATAGCGAACTATATGCAAGGCTTTATTTCTGTGATCTTCGGTAGGATTCGCCATATATTGTGACATGCGAATAACTGCATAGGTGATATCAGGGACAAGTACCTGAGAGCCATATAGAGTAATGACCCAATAATAGACTGGTACTGTGACCGAAGAGAAGATGTGGCTTGGTAATCTGATGGTGCTTTTTCTGGTTGATATCCCGATGGTAATGGAGTGCAAACATTTCGAGCAGTCTCCATGTTGAAATGTTTGATAACCTTTTTAACATAAGGTATCTGATCGAGATAAAGTTCCTTTTTGGATCGATCATGGTGAATTTGAATGCCAAGATATTCCTTGACTTCACCAAGATCACGAGATTCCCATTTCTTCATAAATTGATCTTTCTTGGCTTTGAGAAGACTGTTTGTCCGATCCTAGAAAGAGTCCATTGTTGACATAGACTGAGAAAAATGACAATTCCAGCTTTGGAAGAATGGATATAGATCCAAGCATCCACTTTGGATCATAGATAGCCCATTGCGAGTAAAGATAGATGAAGGGCTTTATTCCATGCCAATGCAGCTTGCTTTAAGCCATAGAGGGCTCTAAGCAACCAATAAACCTTGTGTTCTTGACCTGAAACTTTGAAACCTTCTGGTTGCTCCATATAGATTTCTTCATCAAGGTTGCCATATAAAAAGGCAGTTTTAACATCCAGGGCTTCTGCTTCCCAATTTCTTTGAGCAGTAAATGCGAGTAAGATTCGAACAGTTTCGAATCAAGCCACTGGAGAGAAGGTGTCTTCAAAGTCGGTACCGAATTCTTGTGTGAAGCCTTTAGCCACAAGACGAGCTTTATAATGACCATCGCTTTTAATAGTGAAAACCCATCGACACTTGACTGGTTTCCGATCTCTAGGAGGATCCACCAGAGTCCATACTTGTCTTTCTTCGATAGACTTTAATTCGTCTTTCATTGCGTCAAACCATTTCTTTTGCAAATCGGGAGATAACTTGAGCACATCTTTATAATGTTCTGGTGATTCTTTTATCCTAGCAGCCAATGCAAACTCAAAAGGATGCATTTCAGGACCTGGCATTTGTGCATGTTGGTCTGGCATGCCTTTAGGAGAATCAGGAGTGTCCGGAACTGGAGTAAGTGGAGATCCAGGAGATGGAGGAGTTGTTCCTTGTGGATGTTCAGTCCACTGATGAGGAACTTCAGGAGGAATCATTGCAGGAGGTAACCTTGGAGAAGGAGGTCTTCTTTCTTCTGCATATCTCCGAATATCTTCTCTGGAATTGCGAGCATGCTGCTCAGCATTATGAATCCACTGTTGTGCTTGATCCCGATTTCTTTGAATATCTCGTTCAATGTCAACAGGGGGTCTGTCTCCATAGAGATTCCCTGGACGAGATACAGGTATAAAACAACGCTTTGGACAAGGTTCTCTGTCATCAGGAGGTTGAGCTCTGCTGAACATTACGCTGAGTCTCCTTGAACAGGTTGAGGTTCATAAGGATGCCTAAGATGACGAGGGTCAGACTGGTGGTGCAGCAGCAGGTGCTCTTCTTTGTTGTTGTTGAGCTCTATTATTCTGGTCCGGAGCTCTCTGCTGTGGGTTTTGTGGTGGAGTATTTGGACGAGGTGGTTGGCAGTTGATGAGGCGCTGGTTGGATCTGATCAGGATCTGGAAGTGAATGTAGGCTTTCAGAGTTGGAAGTATCTGAATCATGGTCGTCTTCGGTATCGGGGTCAAAGGTTTCGGATTTCTTGGAATCAGAGCAGAAAGGAAAAGAGTCTTCTACAAATTTTGCAGTGCGAGAAAGAATAATCTTCTGTCCATGTAGGAACCGATATCCTTTGGTATTAGGTTCATAACCTAAAAATATCATTTCGACTGCATGAGGTTCCAGTTTGTCTTTTCTTTGTTCTTTCGGAACCCAT